CCTTTCATTTGAGGGTAAAAATGGAGTAAAAACAAGAAATAAGAGCAGAGATGCAAGCACAAATATTGATTTACTGAGATCCAGGATCAAATTCCATTAACATTATCAATATTGAAATCAAAACTGGGGTTTTAATATGGCAATTTAATGTAGCTTTTGAGGTTTTCAAAATTACCAACTTGCCCTTTAATAAAAGATTCACCATTAATGCAGCGGTCAAAAAATAGGATGTCTAGTGAATTAGTGACACTAAGGAGAGGGGCATCAATAAAGGGGGCTTTTTTTCTGGTTGTGGTCAGTACTATCCAACTGCTGAGGGCAATTCTGATGCCCCTGAGACTCGCTCCATTGTGTTCCTGCCTTTTACAAAACCAGCCCGGCGCTTATGCAGGACGGCCACTGATTAAACCACTGGTGCCTGGAGCTTTGAATCTGAAAACACTGGCGCACAATGGCCGCTATTGTCAGCTGCTTTTCCTTCTATTAATTCTAGGTGACAAAAAGGGTGTCAGGATTTTAAAAAGAAAGACAGCCAGGACAAAAAAAATCCCATCTGGAGAGTTTACATTATATATAATGCCCCAAAAGACAAAGATGAGCATTATGTTAAAAGGTTACATTTTAAACAGCTACTTATTGTGATATTTTGTGCGTAAATGCCATCAGGTGAAAGCATACTACTAGCAGAGTAAACAATTTGTAAAAAAAAAAAGGTCAACAAAGCCTAAAAATGTGCATTCATAACCAATTATATCCATACCTGATCCATACCTATACTAACAAACAAGTGTATAAATTAACCTTCAACCTAAAGTCACTAAACGGTGCAATTCAGCTATCATGACAAGTCTTCACTTGGATATGGTTGGAAACATCAATTATCCAATCCAAAAACAATGAACACATGCTTCTTAAGGTCTGGTAGGACATACAAGACAATAAATAAGATCACAACCATGCAAACAGGCCTTGTGCCTGAAAGCCCCCCATCGGTCACCATACGGGACAGTACAAACAGCAGGGCTCACCGTGCCTTCCCAAGCCGCATGGATTAACATGTGGCTTAAAACATTACAATTGGCTTACCATTGCCCATAGAGAAATATCCATACACATAGGCTATAGCTATAAAAAAAACAAGCATAATCTCATTTATTAAAACCAGTTTTTCTAGTTTAACATTATTTGTGGTCACCAGCACAGACCCCTGATGAGAGTGATGTTATAGGGTGGGGTTCACGCTTTCCTTTATATTGTCTCACCTGATCTGGTGCATCAAAAGATGGATGCCTGCCTTCAGCCCCAGCAAAGTGCAAACCCATTCAAAGAGTTGTTAATATATGCACACAAATCAAAATAGCCCCATGCATCAATTTATTTGACAGGAACACCTCGGTAGTTTCATTTTAGCATCCCTACACTGCCTGCATCTCGTAAGCCTCCAGAGGCCACGCTTGAATCTCCATCTTCAAGATGCACGTAGCAAATGTGCAATATCTGCAACAAAGATTCAAAGTGAGCATGCTTTTATTTCCATGCAACATATTAAACAGTGAATGCTTACCTAAACAGCCTTTTCCTTTGCCGGACACACAGTCAGTGTTCTGCGGGTGGGATGACTGGACGGATCCCAGCGCTGGGCTGATGATGATGGTCAGCAGGCAGAACACAGACAGTTCTGGTCCGGTCCACCTTATCAGCCCGCTGCCCACCGACATGATGTATCTGTGCCTCCTCTTTGACCTGTTAAATAAAGGTGCAGGGGGAACAAAAGAGGAGCAATCTGTGGATGCTGCGGAAAATATTCCAATGTTTCCCTTTTAAAACGTGTTAGTGTCCCAGAAAGGCCGAGTGAGCCTTGTGAGCATCACTCCGGTTAAAAACAGCCTTGCATTTCGATCACAAGCACATTTGCACGGATTCGCTGTTGTGTGTGTGTTGCATGAGCTCGTGCGCGTCTCAATAACAGCTCGCGGATGCCTCTCGTTCCGTCTTTGTGTGCATCTCTCGCGCGTCTGTTTCGCTAGGTGTGAGAAAAGCCGACGCGTATCGCCTGTTTCCGTCCTTTAGAAAGCGTTCGCTCTCAGTCCTCTCTTCAATCCTTGCGTTTCGGGGCAATATCGCGAGTCTCCTTGCCCAAAATCCCAACAACAAAGGGTCGGCACGGATGGGTTGCAGTCACGTGACTCCTGAACCACCTCCCCCAATTCCCAGAGGAAATGCAGGACCCCTGAAAACCTGGAAGACTACAGTTGGGTCATTAGTAGTATGCAGTTCAGTTCATTTTCATTTGCCAATTATATGTCTCAATCAGTGGTTTGTGGTGGACTGGCTAATATTAATTTATAGTTTAATTTTCAATTTCTTAGTATCATCCCCTAGCCTATTATGATTTTTAATATTTTATTTTAATATTTTTCCTGTTTTCATTTTAATTTGAGCTCAAATTTAGTTAGGCTATATCTTGTTGTGCTTTAGTATTTTTTTTATTGATTTTGAGCAATGAGCAATGTTGCTTGAAATGAAATATGTTTAAGTTACTTTATTTTATTTCTGCTAATGTTTATTTTATTTCGTTTAAGTACCGAAAGTAATGAAATGTTTTTTTAAAGCTTTTTTGTTTTAGACAGATAAATAAATAGCCAACAGATTAATGGATTTTTTCCACAGATGCACTAAACATAATCTATACACTAACACTGTGACCTATTATGCTATTTTATGTTGTTTAATGACAGCACTGTTTAAATGCAGTTTGTCGAGTTATAATATACAGGGTCCATTAAAGGATTTAAATACAAACAAAGCACACAGTAATAGACAGTAAAATCCTCATGAAATGTGGTTGGTTTTTAATAACCTTTAACTTATATGTAATTGCAGATGCACCATTACTCAATGCTTTGCTGCAGGGTTACTAATCATAATTCGGTCTGGATGCTCCAGTTGCACTAGTGGTGTCGATATTGATCCTCCTGAGGCCACACAAGTACACTATTGATCTCACAGACAGACATTTAATAGACTGACTTACAAAAACTAGGCAATCACTGCCAAACAGCAGTGTGTGAGAGCAGTTTATATTCCTCCAAACTATGCCGAACATTATTCAAGCATTTCAGAGTGTCTTGTTTTTAATCAGCTCAAAACAACATTAAAGTACACTAAATGGCGGAAGTACATGTGAAGACTGATCACATGACATCTTCACACTAGGATTGAGGACTTGCATTCTGGTTTCTTGTTTAGGTTAAAGATCACATGATGCCTTGACTGGTTGCCAGCAGTGTTTACATTATTAAGAACTTATGTGAAAACAATATAAATGAAATGCCCCATGAAAACGGCATCATCAATGTATCCATAGGCCACGAAACAAACTCTAGTTTTATAACCATTTGCATACATAAAATGCAAACACACACACAACACGTAGGTACATTCAAAAATACAAACTATACAAAACTAACCTTTTGTGGTCAGATTTCTTTCCGTAAATTTTAAAAACAAATATAAGGATTATTGAGAGCCACAACTGCAATGATTCCTGTCAATATATATGAATATTGATAGTTTATAATATCTTCTTTAGCTAAACTGTAGTCAGTAACAGGTAGATCATAAAAATCTTAACTAAAAACGGACCTGTTTTAGATGTTATTTGGTGATATGATACTAAACAAGAACACTAGATTTTTATCTAAAATTAAGTTTCATTAAACTGCTCAATTAAAAACAGGGTTAATGATTTAATGAATATCAACTAGGAATAGAATAAACAATTTTTTACAAAACAAAAAACGGTAAGGCACAGGTGTAGCCTAGGCCTACTGACGAAACATCAGATGGCTTGTGTACCCTACCAACAATATGTTTTTTTTTTTTTTTTTAAAGCCTCAAGCTCAAAACACATCAATATGATGTTGGCAGCACAATCTGATACGTAGTATGTTTCGCCATCGAGTTGATAAAGGGAGGTATAGCACAAGCCGTCAGAAGACCGGCTTTAATCACAAGACAATTTAGCAAGTACACAGCGCCACCACCAGGTCCAACTAAAGCGATGAAGCCAGCTTAACCCCTTATACCACTGAAGCCAGCAAGCCGTTATGGGGCATGTTACCTTGTTTGCCTTGGGGCAAGGGAAATCCAATAAACGTTGAGAAAGTTACAGTAATCCAGAACAGAATAAGAAACCAAACAAGGATCTTAATTAGTACTAGATGGTTGTGGTATGGCATTTGATAAGATTACCATTACCACCACCAAACAAGACAAGAGAATGCGGACAGATGTGAAGACTTCAGTGGATGCCAAGTCCTCCACAACATTATTAAAGGTGCAGTAAGAGATTTCTGAAAAAGCTGTTGCTATGTAGCCAATCAGCATTAAAGCTACACTGTGTAATTTTTACCCCCATCTAGCGGTGAAAAGGTATATGACCATCCAGTGAATATTAGGTTCTGTTCCTCTCAATTCCGATTTTGTTTTAACCCCTACGGTGGCCAATGTAGTCCAAGATTAACATGGCTTCCAGTTCGACCTCGTCCATGAGTGTTAACTCAAACGTAACCGCGAAAGGCGAAGCTTGAATTAACGGGTATGTCCCTCTTTGGCTAATGTACATTCAAGATGGAGGGGCAACATGGCGACCCCCCTTACCCGTATGTATTTTCAATGGCATATTATACACTCACAAGAATACTTTATTACTTAAACGAAGTAAATATACATTAATGAGCACATATATTTTTTGAAAGAATCAAGTGTTTTTAGCTAAGAATAAACTAAAAGAGTTACACAGTGTAGCATTAAGGGGCATGTCCAATCATCAGGGGGTTGATGCCTGTGCTACATAGCATGTAGTGAATTTTGAAGAGGGAGGCTATCAAGATAAGGGCGTGTAACGTGTTTTTTGTTAATTAAAATATTCTCAGAAATTAAGATCGGCACAACAGCTCATCTTTCCCAATTTCATTCATGCTGGACACACATGAGAGTTTGTTTAGAGAAAACATTTTTAATAATTTGGTGCAGTTCTGTATACAGTAACAAATTTTACGTACGGTTTCCAGATGATCGTAAAGTAAAAATCTGTGTTGTCTTGATGGAGGGTTGCACACGGAATTCTGCTACATTCTTGATAACAACATATAAGAAACATAAGGTTGTTTTCACACATTATTTACAAGCCTGTTGCTCATATCCTATTTGTACTATAGCAACTTTTACTTTTGTCTCCATAACAAATCTTACATGGTTTATAATAAAAATGTTTAGTATGCTAAGTGTATCATGAAAGATCTATCCAGAAGTCAGGAATGGTCCCTTACCGAATCCACCTACTTTGAAACTTAAGCCTTTTATAGATCACATATTATATAAATAAATAAAAGCATTTTCACACAGTGTTTAAAAAATGAAAATTGCAACCACTATCTCAAAGAAATCTAAACCATTTTCAGATAATTATAATACTTCAAATCAATACAATAAAATCATTATATAACGCCTGAAAGTTAAAATGTCGATTTATGGTCTCTAACATTATACATCTACTACAGCTGACGACAGAAGCAAAGCAAAAGAAGGGAAAGTGTTAGTTTTATCTTATATTTCACAGACTTCAGGGCCATCTGGACGTAAATGATCCAATGACCCAACTCTTCCATAAGGTACATGTGCAACATCACATGAAGTGTAATGACAACACTGGCATGCATTGAAATATAAGAACATTGTTCTTTTACACACAGCTATTGCTCCGACTGTTCAAGGCAATTTTCGTGGACCACTATTTCTTATTAAAAACACCCTTTCTTATTCTACATGAATGCATTTGAATTGAATCAGCTTATTCTATTGAAAAAAAGTCTATTTGAAATACAAGATTTGCTTAAATTTGAGGGGGAAAAAAACCCTAAAAATCAAGAGTCAACAATTCTGATAATGGTTTAAAATGACCACTAAAATATAATTCATAATTCATAGAAAGTGGCAAAATTAGTCACACAATAAGTACTCTACTCTTTTTTCCTATACCCTTACCAAAAGTCCAACACAAAAGTAACTTTTTAAAATGCGATGTATTGTAACATGCTAAATCAAGTATGTGTGCTGTACCGTAGTAAATCATACAGCTGATTTGATCTTTAACAAATAAAAAAAGAAAACGCTGCTTTCAATAGTCTTCATGGCAGCATTTTGTAAACGATTAAAGACCTATGAAGCACATTTGGCAATAAACTAAAGAGCCAGAACTGAAATTTTGGTGACAAAAAGTGATGTTTAAACAGTAGTTCACCCAAAAATGAAAATCTAGTTGTCATTTACTCCCACCTAGATGTGGAGGAACATTCATGCAGCTTATTTCCATTTTCATTTTTGGGTGAACTGTTCTAACATAAGTCAAACACATGGTTTATGTAGGATAATAGCACCACACTCTGTCACTATCATATGCGTATGATCAAATCATTAACTGTAAGGGGGAGGAGTGTTTCACGGTCCCTCTTCTAGCAGGTGTGAGCGGAACTGAAAGCTGGAGGTGTTCGAGGGGTTTGACGAGGTAAGACTGGCCCATCATCTGTGATCTGACATTTAGGGTGGGCAGAAATCTGCAAAGAAAGGGTGCTGTAGGGCTTCCTCCGCTGAAATCCGCTGTACTGGATTGCATTTCAGAAGATTCTGCAAATCACAGAAAAATCCAAGCCTAACCATGACGCACGAAAGCATGAATTGCTCTCAAAATTGAGAATATTGTACCTGTAGAAGGTCTCTGCCAGTGCTGCTGAGTTTCGGGACCACATTCACAAGTGATGTAGTAGCTGGGTACATTGGGTACGGCTATCAAAACATTTAAATAAAGAAAAGGAAAAGAGAAATGGATGCAGAATAAATGTATGAAAAAAAGAAAGGCCTTATTAAATAACCAATTTCTTAAACCTCAAAATTTATTTGGTTTCTTTGAACATTCTAACAGCAAAAATCTTTGTGCCGACATTTAGACGAACAAATGTTGTACCTTATAATCTGGAAGTTTATTCATAGTCTGCCATTGTTCTTCTGTCGGTGTTCCCAGCAATGTGCCAAAATGTTAAAGTTAATCAGCTCAATGGAAACTTGGCTTGATGTGCCAAGTTTCTACATGCATCGCATGGCAACTCCATTATATTACATTACTATGGAGCCCCTAAAGGGACATGGAGATGGAAACAAATATGAGAATTATATACAGTATCTATGCTTTGGTTTCCCTCCCCGAGAAACTTTTTTCAAAGTCTCTTAGGGGAACAAAAAAAAAAGATTTTAAATAGATTTTCCACCATCATGTCCCTTTAGGGACACACATACATACACACACAAAATATATATGAATGAGTTTACTCAAAATTCTGTCATTAATAATCACTCACCCTCATGACGTTCCAAACCCTTAAGACTTTCGTTCATCTTCGGAACACAAATGAAGATCTTTTTGATGAAATCCGAGAGCTTTCTGTCCCTCTATTGACAGCTACACACTTTGACGCTTCAAAAAGTTCATATAGAGATCGTAAAACTAATCCATATGAATTGAGCGGTTTAGTCCAGATTTTCTGAAAGGACAATCTCTTTAAAGGGATTGTTCACTTTGAAATTAATTTTTGGTTTGTTTTAGCTTACCTCAACGACCGTTCGTGTCTGTCAGTCATATAATGGAGGTCTATGGTCACCACCTCAAAGAGCATGCACAGAGAAGTCCAAATTAAACATGATTTAATGACTCGTAAATGTAAGTACACATTGATGGCCTAAGACACGAAACGAGCGGTTTGTGTGAGAAAACGAACAGTTTTTATATCGTTTTTACCTCTTGTAACCAGCGCAAGCGCCGGAAATGATCAGACAAGAACGGTTTGACCTAGAAATATCAAAATTGAAATAACTGTGAAAACTAAGACACCTACATCTTGGATGCCCTTGAGGTAAGCTAAAACATACCAAAAATGTATTTCAAAGTGAACTATCCCTTTCAATGAACAGATTTAATTTAGGCTTTTACATAAACTGCAAACATAAACAGAAGCTCAACCAAACCTGATTGACGCATGAGAACAAACCTCTTGCTGAAGCTCAAACGTGATGCGTAACACGAGAATGTGTCAAGTGGTAGTTGCGTAGCTGACATTTCATAAAAAAGATTGAACGAAAGTCTTACAGTATTGCAATTACATGAAGGTGAGTGAATGTGTGTTTGTATATAATTACATTACATTAAATAAACCATCCTGCACTAGGTATCAACAATATGAAACGTCAAGATTACAGTTCTATCCAAAAGTATAAACCGAACATAAATGTAGTGTAAGTGTAAAGGATATCTAAAGATCCTCTTTAGCTGGTCATCCACGTCATTTCCAGGAAATAAGGGCCGTCCTGCATTTGCCAGTTCTAAAAAAAAATTATATATATAAAGAAAAACAAATTCACATACTACAAGAAAAGTTTTACTACAACAACGAAAAGAGTTAAATGGAGCTTTTCCTACCAGCAAATATACACCCTGCAGACCACATATCAATAGAGGTAGAGTAAAGCTTAGCACCAAACAGCACATCCGGTGGCCTGTACCACAACGTCACCACCTGAAGCCAACCAACATGAAGTGAGGAACAGGGAAACGCTGAAAAAGTCCAAGCTGCATCTGAAGCCGTGTAGCTTACCTCAGCAGAATAACATCGCACAGGTATTCCAAACGCTCTGGCCAAGCCAAAGTCAGCTAACTTCAGTTCACCGTTCTGATGACGACAACATAATGCACATATTAGAAAGTGTTTTGGGGAGTACAGCAGAAATAAAGGAATTCACCGACATAATGCAATCTTATAGTCATATATAACACAAACCTGCTAATATCAAGCACTTTCAGTCTTTACTTACTCTGTTGATGAGCAGATTTTGTGGTTTGAGGTCTCGATGGAGAACATTTCGGCTGTGGCAGAAGGCAAGGCCCTTCAATAACTGGTACATAAAGGACTGCAAGGAGAGAATTAAAAAAAAGAGATGCTCTTCCGTGACACATTCTTTTCACGGCTTTATACAGATTTAAAAAACAAATCAAACCTTGACAATCTCTGGATCCAAGTCACCATTACAGCTGTCAAAGTATTTCTTCAAGTCCTGTTACAAGTTACAAAACACACTGATCTCACCAGACTCGTTCAAGCAGCAAGATCATTGGAAACGGTAAATGATGATGCAGGTACTTGCTCCTACCTGATCGCAGAACTCAAACACTAATGTGAGCTTCTTATCACTGTGTAGGACATCATGTAACCTACAAGAACAAGAGGCTGCTGTTAAAGGGTTAGTTCACCCAAAATTGAAAAGTAGCCCATCATTTACTCACCCTCAAGCCATCCTAGGTGTGTATACGACTTTATTCTTCCAGCCAAACACAATCGGAATTATATAAAAAAAAAATATCCTGGCTCTTTCAAGCTTTATAATGGGAGAGAATGGTAAATGAGATTCTGAAGCCCCCCAAAAAGTGCATCCATCCATCACAAAAGTAATTCATACAGCTCCAGGGGGTTAATAAAGTCACTCTTGTGCCAGAACTAGACTCGTGTACGGCCATTGCCAGAAGCAAATGATTATGGTTTATAAAGTTATAAATATGGATATATTTCTTACAAAAACGCATTGCTTTGCTTTAGAAGGCATTATTAACCACCTGGAGTCTTATGGATTACTTTTATGATGGATGGATGCACTTTTTTGGGCTTCAAAATCTCCCCCATTCACTCCCATTATAAAGCTTGGAAGAGCCAGGATATTTTTCTAATACAACTTCGATTGTGTTCGGCTGAACGAAGAAAGTCATATACACCTAGGATGGGCTTAAGGGCGAGAAAATTATGAGATCATTTTCATTTTCTTTGGGTATCCCTTTAATGCAGCATGAGACAAACCGCACAATTTCTATTTCATCGCTATTTATTTATCAATAACTATTTTGAAATGCTTCCTTAAAAAAATACATGCAACCAAGCGAAACTGATTTTATATGGTTAAATACATTAAAAATGCAATAATAATAATAAAATAATACTTAACAACATTTATTCTGCATGATGAAATATACTAATAATACTTTTCATAAAAAAAATAATAATATTACAAAATAGGAAATATAAATGCAACTAAACTCAGTGCATGCTGTAAGCTTAAACATACTTAATATGCAAACAAACATACCTTACAATGTTTTTATGCTTCAGTTCTTTCAGGAGGCAAATTTCTCGTAAAGCTGAGCTTGGAACCCCCTGTTGTAGGATTGAAAATTAATGCGACAGTTTGCTTTAATATGACTTGCTTGTGCTTCACATCCCAGTCTTACCTCATCATCATCGTCCAATCGCACTCGTTTGAGGGCCACAATCTCATGCGTTTCTCTGTTTTTAGCTTTGAAAACGGTCCCATATGTACCTGGAGACAGGGTACAAAAATCAAGTCATTCTGACTAGAAAAAACACTGTAGAAATAGGATAAGTTCCTAAAATGGGCATGGCCTAGCAGCAAAACATGTCTTTAAATAATCAGGCAGAATAACTTTCAAATAATACTTATATTGCATTTGTGTATAATCTTGTCGCGAGGTAACCGTTACTTTTCTCAGCATACTTCAGAACAGACCAATCACTGTCCTTTTTGATAAATAGATTTAAAAAAAAAGATTTACAAAAGATACTTGCTGCTGATTTTATCTATAACTTAAGTACTCATTCGATTAAATCACTATACATTTAAATTAGTATATTTTTTTCAGTGAGTAAAATCTCACCAAGAATTACCAATAATAATTCTTATTCTGCGATTTGAATGTCGTCAAAGTGGGCTGCGTCTGAAATCGCATGCTCTCTTGAGTAGGTACTGATTTTCTGAATAAGTAATTACTTCACAACCACTATATAGCCTTAATGTGTGTCGTATATGAAAGCATCTGAAATCACATACTTCCCTACTATATAGTAGGCAAAATACAGTACGTGACAAAATAAGTATTTCCGAATTCACAGTACTCATAAAAGAGTTGGCAAAAAGTACTTGATCTACTACTTCAGGCTAGATTCTGAAGTGATGCAACTGAAAGTCACATGATAATGACAACATGGCGAATATAGTACGTCCTGAATTCATTTACTACACACATACATACTATACAGAACATAAAGTTTTTAGTGGTCATGAAGTAATTATTCAGAATAAATGCCAACTCAAGCGAGTATGCGATTTCTGACACAGCCATAATCCAGAGAGTACTACATCTGCCTTGTTGTCATTATCATGTCAGTTGTATCGCTTCACTGCCATTCATAAATCCTCTCCCGTGGCCTCATGGGATAGTAAAGTGTCCATCATATGCACACTTCGCCGGAAGTAGTACGTCATCCGAGTACTTTTTTGAGTACTGTGAATTCGAACATACTTATTTTGTGTAAACACATATTTATACAATACTAGTATACACTATATAGTGGGGAAGTAGGCTATGTGATTGCGGATGCAGCCACACTGATTTTGAGCATTCATGCGCCCCCTGGAGGAGGAAACACTTTATGCCTCATAGGAATCTGCTACTAACTAACATTTGCAGCTCAGTGAGAATCAGAGAAAAGCTGATTGATAAAGCTAATGATATTGGTTTGAATGAACGATCAGTTTGATTCGAAATTATCAATGCAACACTGAACAATAGCTACGGCATCATTTAACAGGTGCGCAACGCCGTTTTGATTTATTTAAAGCCAAGTGCATCCTCTCAATAGCAGTATGAGCTTGCTAGCTCTAGCTTAGACTTTAATCTCAACACACTTTAATCTTACGAAGGCATAATTTACAGCAGACTGTCAGACGCTTTAAGCTCTACATCTGCAAACCTTCATGATTGTTAATAATACTCTATGAATCTCCAAAGCAGATAACGTTACAGTCATTCAGGCCAGACAATCCATTTAACGTTACTCACCCTCTCCTATCTTCTCCAACTTCTCATACTTTTGCATGGTTTTAGCCAGCTACAATAGCTTTTATTCAAAGCGTCCTGGCTCCTTAATTTCCTACGTTTTAAAATAAAGGTTTAAATAATACAGCTGACTACTGTCGTTTTTTTTATCAACAAGGGGCGTAGTACGCAACACGAAGAGAGCAATAAGGGTTTCAAGATGGCGATTTACTGAGGCACACTTCAAAATAAAAGCATCCTCCGTAAACGGCCTTCAGGGTGGATAATAAACACCATAAACTCCTATAATAAATACCAATACAATTAAAATAAAACATTTTAGTTTTATATTTCATCATATTAAATAAAAAAAATTAAACTTCTAAAAAAAAACAGACAAAATAAAGAATGCAGGAGGAAAATATTTACTTTTTTATACCCCAATTTTCATGGAAGACAGACAGATTATCATCAATACTATTGATAAATAATACATATTTCAAAATAAAATGTACATCTCACTTTTCATTTTAAAAAAGGTTCAAATATTTTAAAAAATCAGTCTAAAGTTTGGGGAAATCAAATATTATTTAACAACAGCATGGCTACCATTGCACAACACTGACATTATTCTACGATACATAAAACTCAAAACACTGAATATTAATTTGCTATGGCAGTGCACCAAATAAAATATTGTCTTTTAAACGATACATTTTAAAAAAAAAAAAACCTGATAGTTAAAAATGCTCAGAAATAGTATTTTATTTGTGACCATCTGATCGTTGTCTCTTTATAAGTTCTGAATACAGCCCTCCTTTGCTCAGTAATTCCAGGTGTGTTCCAGCCTTTGAAAAAATAAATAATAAAACAAACATTAAACATCACAGGTTTCAGGCATTCAGTATGTATGTACATAACTTTGTAAAGTCCTTCCTCACCTCAACAATACGTCCATTGCTCATGACACAGATGAGATCGGCCGCCTGTATGGTGCTGAGGCGGTGAGCGATGATCAGAACGGTTCGACCCGTTGTGGCTCTGTCCAAAGCCTCCTGAACCACACGCTCAGACTCCGCATCCAACGCACTGGTGGCCTCATCCAGAATCAAGATGCTGGGGTTTTTTATCAGGGCACGGGCGATTGCGATCCGCTGCTTTTGGCCCCCAGATAGAGTGACTCCACGTTCACCTAAAAAATATATCAAAATTAATGTATTGTATTTAAAATTTTATTTCAATTTAGAAAACGGATTATTTTATTCACACTTCAAAATTACATCTTTCATCTCACTTCATTGAAACCTTTCCCTTTAAAAAGAAAGTTTTAAAATGCTTTCAGTCTAGAGTTTGGGGAAATAAAACAGTGTTTATTTTATTCTGATTTCGTTTTTACCAGTGCTTACCAACCACAGTGTTATATCCATCTGGGAATGCTGTGATGAAATTATGAGCATTGGCTTGTTTGGCAGCAGACGTGACCTCGGCGTCTGTTGCACTGGGTTTTCCAAACCTGATATTCTCCATCACAGAGGTTCCAAAAAGAACAGGTTCCTGTGACAAGGACGAAGAAGATTGATACAACTAGTGATCTTAACAAACCGAAGCAGATTCGTTAGAGTGAAGTGAATCAAGGTCTTGCTCACAGAGAGAGAATAATATGTACCTGACTGATGAACCCAATGACGTGTCCTCTTAACCAGGACGGGTCCAGTGTTCTGATGTCCAGCCCATCCAGCATTACCACTCCACTGCTGGGGTCATAGAACCGCTCCAGTAAGGCGGCCACTGTGGATTTGCCTGAATTTAGAGGTAAATAAATGACTCATTTAATTAGACAGGCGGATATATAGATAGATAGACAGAGAGATGGATATACAGACCCTCGGACAGACATCTTACCTCCGCCTGACTCTCCAACGATAGCCACAGTTTTACAGGGAGGTAGAGTCAGGTTGAAGTTTTTAAGGATCTGGTTTCCAGGTCTTGTTGGATACCTGCAGGGGCGTAGCCATCATTTCAAAAGTGAGGGGGACAGAATGTCAAGTGTAATACCAGTTATTTTTTCTTCAGACCTTAGTTTGTTGACAGGTTTTTGCTTAATTGGCTAAAAATGCTATTCAATTTTAAAGCAATAAAACAGAAAGAAAGAACGTTGTCCAGTACCTTATATTGCTCTTGCAGGGTTTTTCCTTGCTTAAAATGAGGCGAAGGTGCTAAAATCCTGATCAAATGTGTATTTTTCGTTGACCATCATATAATCTACTCTACTGTTTTACCCACAGTATTTTAGTAGGTGGATCTCAGTACCCCGTAAGAAAATGTCGTACATTTTAAAGATAAATTCATTAATCTGGTGCACGAATCCACTGTTAAAAATAAATAATCCAACCACCCAAACATATGATATTCTCTGATTTAGATATCTGATCATCGCATTACAATTATTTAAATGATCAATGTTACGCATATCACACCGAAGCTGATTTAAAAATAACATTTACTTAAAATACGTTCTTCTTTTGGCAAAATTACATTTTCTTACTAGCCTAAACAAAGTCTGTCTTACTAGACTAAAACTTTCCTATTGAAAACCTTCAAACTTCAAGCTTTTACAATGACTTTTTAAAGAGAACTTACAAACTTTACCTAATTGTAAAGTGTTACCAAATTATGATAAACATCATGTATGTTGCAACGCAGCCTGATGCAAGCAGATTGTGGCTGCTAATGCATGAAAATACAAATTCAGCATTAACATTCACCATGTTTATTCTAATTTGAAGGGCTTTGATAACATATCTGTGAAAATAAAATGCATTACGAGTAAAAAAAGATTGAAAATTTTGCATGTTCGTTCGGGTAGTGAACTTACAACAAAAGCTGTTAATTATTCAACTGGAGAAACAGGCGGAGTTATTCATCATTGTGCAAAACGATTTGGATGCTAGATGACAACTTGACTTTGCTTGATAGTGCTTGACTTTTTCGTGAAAAAGGAGTGAACAGTTATTTGCCATTTTGAACTCTATGAAACTGATGGATTCAGCGTGATGGGGAGCGGGTGGGTCGTAGGCTAATGCACGAGTGACTGATTACCATGGAAACGTGAAAGTCACGTGAAGTGTTTGCATAAGAGGCCTACCTGAAATCAATGTTCATGAAGTCAACTCTTCCCGTCAGAGACTTGAGAGGGATACGACCTCCTCCGGTAAGAGGAACGCTGGGCTCTAGAGTCAAGTACTCAAACACACGGGCCCCTGCACTCATACCTCGAACCATCTGACACAAACCACTCGTCAATATATATATATGATACATACAATATGTAAAGATAAGTGTCTTCCACTCACCTGTCCAAACAGAATAGAAATGCTGGCAAGAGATCTATAGAGACAGATGTAAGGTGATTCTGTTACATGTGTTTTTAGTGTGGTTTGAAATTATAGACACTTTTGTTTCTTATATATAATGTGTAAACAAAAAAAAAAAATTCACCTCTGAACTGTTTGAGAGGCGACCAAAAATGACATTAGATCACCAGGTGACATGTCATTACGGGCCATTAAAGACCCACCAGCAAATATAGTGCCTAGAACAATGCCTGTCGAATAAGGGAAATATTGAACAGTCCTAGTAGTTCATGTAGTAATTGGATGCAAATCAGTAAAACATGCATAATTACTCACAGTTCAGGACAATATTAGACAGGCCCTGAAATACGGCAATCCCTGTGCCCAACGTTTCATTCATGGCAGCTGATTTCTGGACCTCGGCGGCAAACATCCTGTGAAAGTATGGTTCATATCAGAACGAAAAAAACTGTACAAATATTACAATAAAAACCTGGGTAACACTTTAATTTAAAGGGATACTCCACTTTTTTTGGAAATAGGCTCATTTTACCACTCCCCCAGAGTTAAACAATTGGGTTTTACCGTTTTCGAATCCATTCAGCCGATTTTCTGATATTTAGAAGAATATCAGTTAACAGATAGTTTCTGGTCTCATTGACTTCCATAGTATATTTTTTTCCTACTATGGAAGTCAATGAGACCAGAAACTGTCTGGTTACTGATATTCTTCTAAATATCAGAAAATCGGCTGAATGGATTCGAAAACGGTAAAACCCAACTGTTTAACTCTGGGGGAGTGGTAAAATGAGCCTATTTCCAAAAAAAGTGGAGTATCCCTTTAAGGTGAAGTAGTTATAGTAATAATAGTAAATTATACACAATGACAAACAACTAACCCTAAATCAAATGCCATCCGATGAGACTAATTTAAAAAGATTTTACAGTGTAATATTATCAACAATTCCACAGAACTCAATATTTTCCTCTCAAAATTAACAGGAAATGTGGGGAAAAAGTCTAGATTCTGAAGTCGTACTCTAGTTCTCGATCCTCCATGGCAAAAGCCCTCACTGTTCGTACGTTACCAAGAGCCTCGTCGGCCACTCCTGTAGCTTTAGCAACCTAAAAGAGGCAAATGGGTTTAGCAGTTAGCATAGAAAGAGTCACTAAAACTAAACTCTTCCCCATCAGGGTCGTCACCTGTTCCTGCGCTTTCCGTGAAAGTTTCCGGAGAAAAGAACCGATGAGAGCACCAGCCCCCACGAGACATGGAAGAACGACCACAGTGAGACCCGTGAGCTTGGGGGAGATGACGTACAGCGAGACAAAACAGCCCACTGTCTGTGTGGCACTGCGCAAACCCTGTACAACACAACACATTAACAGATATAGTTGCACATTCTCCCTGGGGCTTTTTAAAAACACTTGCTTATAACATTTGCTCCTTGATTTGATTATTGAAAACGGTTTGTTACTTGTGCCAAATATTATAATTATATAATTTAGAGGGATTTTTTTTGTTTTGTTTGAGCTCTACTAGAATAGGTCTTCATACTTGAATGTTCAAAAACACATTTTTCACATATTTGACATTGTTGCAGCTCCTCTCTTCCCAGTCTGTCTTTATCAGTCTGTTTAATTCCTGTCTCTGTGAAGCCCCTTCTTCTGAAAAGCACACTGTGCTCTGATTGGTCGGCTGGACCAGTGTGTTGTGATTGGTCAACCACTTTGAGTGTGTTTTTAAAAAGGTCCCGCCTCTTATCCTAACTGCAAATTTCGACACTCTACTAACTCACTCAACCAGGCCCCGCCCCTTTATTTTATGTATGCCTTGACCAGGAATTATTTCATTGAAAAATAATGCGACACGTTCATTCCTGGAAGAAAACTCAAGACTACAACGGAGGCTCAGAAACAGTGTGCACTGATATAAACAATAACTTTGTGCTTTGGAGTGACATTTTTCATGCTCAAACAGCAACTTACACACAAAAGACACAAAAAACATATAGGACAACTTTAAAGGTGATGCATTGCATGCATACTTACTGCAAACCACACAATAAGCAAATAACGCATAAAAAACTGGTGCATAAAACATCCTACCTGGGAAATAACCAGCTTGAAGGAAGATTTAAACTCCTGGATGTCTGACGTGAGTCGGTTTACCAGCTGCCCAGTCTTGTTTGCATCAAAAAATGCAACATCTTGTCTGTAACATGACATTTACACAAGATGATTCGTTTTTTTTTTTCTTTAATTAAAGTGTACGAGTGCCTCTTCAGCAAATATAGCACATTTGTACTTTAATTCTTTAGTACAAACCTAAGCAAGGACATGAAGAGAGTTGTTCTCATGTCAGCAGCAACTCTCTCTCCAACTCTAGACAGTAGAATGATGTAGCCACTGGTCAACAGACCCTGAAAGACAGATTAACAACAGATTTTACATATACACTACCATTAAAAGGTTCAGGGTTGGTTACATTTTGTAATGTTTAGTCTCTTCTGCTAACCAAGGCCGCATTTATTTGATCAAAAATACATTAAAACAGTAAAACTTTGAAATATAACTCTATTTTAATATTTTTTAAATGCAGCATCATCACTCCAGTCTTCAGTGTCACATGATCCTTCAGAAATTACTCTAATATGCTGATTTGCTGCTCAAGAAACATTTCTGATTATTATCAATGATGAAAACAGTTGTGCTGCTTTCTATTTTTATGGAAACCATAATACATTTTTTTCAGGATTCTTTGATGAATAGAAAGTTATTTTGAACAGAATTCATGTGAAATTGAAATCTTTTGCAACATTCTAAATGTCTTTACTGTCCGTTTTGATCAATTTAATGCATCCTCCCTGAATAAAAAGGTTTAATGTTTTAAAAAAAAATCTTACTGACCCCAAAACTTTTGAATGGAAGTGTAATAGTGAGAGTCTTTTTAATAATCAGGAGCAAGTGATACTGTATGTTGATCCTAGAGTTTCAGGTGTGACCTAAAGTACCTGTAAACCATACAGTCCAAGCAGCTTCATTGCAGGCGCTTGAATATCTCTCACGTAGTGACCCGTTTGTTCTCTCATGTGGCGAGCGACAACATTCACCAGATCCCCCAAAATCAGAGGAATCTGAATATTAAGGGCTGCTGCTCCGAACGCAAGCTGAAAGAGAAGGTTAAAACGATTATTAAGCCAAAAAGGATATTAAATTAAATTAAGCATAAGTAGTTAACAATAGTTTAAATGTTTACTGACGATAACGGCTCCTATTAGAGCAAGAAGTTGGGGTCGAACAAACTCCCACAGGACGGCCCAGCTGAATTCAGGAATCTTTTCTTTCACCTGAACTTCCACCGGGACATTATTGTTCACATCTGCTTCACAATGAGCTACTGTACCAAGCAAGCGTGCCGTCAGTGTCAAAGCAGCTGGTCCTAATATGAGTTTCAGAGTGACGTTTGGCGTTCTCGGATGCCGTCTGGATGCTAGACGGAGCACTTTTTGAGCTTGTCTCCATATGCGAATAGGAGCACTGACAGTGAACTGTTTGAATGGGATTTGTGAACTACTCCATGGTACTGTGTGCTGGCCACGTCTACAATACAATAGATAACAGAAAGACAGTATGAAAAAAGTGCACTTTGAAAAAAAGTTGACTTTAAAGTAAGTTTTAAATCAATGTGGTTGTGCTTTAAAGTACACTTATTCTGATGCGTTGACTAACATACTAAATCAGCTCCTGTTTATAATTTTAACTGCAGTGTGTTATTTGATATTACATTTAAAGATAATAAATGCACTAAAATGCTACTACCATTAATATTTACAAGCATGACTGCATTTTATTTAGTTCACCATAAATGCTTGTCAGCACACTTTTTCACCATGTTTCAAAGACAATAGAAGTTATAATGAAATTACATTTAAAGATGTACTTAAATATGTTAAAAGCACTCTTAAGTTCAACTAATTTCATTTAATATAAATTTAAATATATCATTTTTTCAATAACAAATGCAATTACTTGTATTTTAAAATATATTTTTCCATAATAAGTACTCGTTTAAAAGTATGCCAAAGTGTACTTGTTCTTCACAAGGGACATACCACGACTATTACGCAATAATCTTTAGTTTAGAATATATGAATCACCTTTGGCATGAATAAACATACTTCTATGTCAACAAAAGCAACGTCTAAAGTTACTTGATAACAGACCACCCCGTGACTTCAACCAGATCAACATGGAAATGAATGTGCTGTGTAAGCAGTTAGTTTCAAGCCAAAATAATAAATACAGATAAACACTGTGTACCTATTGAGGTGGTGGATCAAGAAATCTCTTGTTTTTTGTGAGCTCAAAAATCGATCAGACGTAACAGTGCCGCGTGTCAGTCGACTGCAACGTGAAAAATGAAACATGTTTTAGTAGTGTTTTGTAATGACAGCAGCAAGAAGAAAGAAAGATTGTTCATCTAAACTAAATGCACTCAAGGATTAACATGTAGGCCGCCATGTTTACGCAATCGCAGCGTGAACACGCTTACCCTATACGTCATCGCTGCGTAAATATTTTATTTCATTTTTTACATACATAAATAGTGGAATGCATATGACAATTTGGCATTATATAAATGTGGTTCTTTTAAAATTAAAACTGGCTTTTGTTTTATGCGGTATTTCTTTTAGTCTGAAATTTGTGTATGTTTGAATGATGAACGCTTTTATTTCTTACGATTACTTTCTTTTTATTTAAATAAATATTTTTTTATTCTATAATTTGTTATAAAGGGTAATAGTGTATTAATACATGCAACTAATAATATAAATAGTCAATTTTTGTTTAAAACAGTCCTCTGGTCAACGAGTTACCTAGTTAAGAAATTACTTAAATTAAACAGAACTTAAATAGAACTATCAAGAACATAGAGAAAACTGTATACACTTCTTTGCTACCTACATATTTAATATTTAATATATATAATAATTTTGCATTACATGTAGTGAATAAAAGTCCCGGAAGTGACGCTACTAGAAACCAAAGTGACGACAGGCGATATTTGTTGTCATATCTGTTTTTGTTGTGAAGAGCAAAGGCGAGGATCATCTTTGCTCGGATGGTGAGACTCATTTTGCGCTTTACATATTTAAATCATCTCAGTTTTCTTTCAATAGAAGTGTTTTCAGTAATAAAATCTCAACTAGACAAAAACAGACGATATAACGTTAAGCAAATAATGAGAAGTTTTGCCTGGATGGATAAGGTTGATGTGTGTGGTGGTCATCTGTTAAACTCACCCCTGTTAGCAGACACTTCATAAAAAATGGTTTAATCTAACGATCAGTTATGTTGTCATTAATAATCGTTGCATTTATACGTCATCGTGAGTTATTATGACAACATGTATCTTTGTCTGTTTGTAATGATGCAATCAAGTCTGTCCTTGACTCAACTGAACATAAACCAAGCATGTGGTTGGGGCTTTGTCAGAAAAACACAGAGTACAGTGAACTTGGTCAGTTTGAGCTGGTTCTGCACTTGTTTATGGTGCGAGATATGTTTTTAGTAAATTGTCATAACTAATATCATTATACCTGTTGTTCAGGACCTAAGGTGAATATTATAGAGAGGTAGAATGTAAAACACGATGGCTGGTTTTGAAACGTACCAGGAGTATCATCGGATAGAAGACTGTGATGAAGACTCACCCCCGGGAGAGGAAGATTTACTCATCCATGTGTCAGAGGGCAGAGGAGGTAAGTAATTTTCACTGTCATGCAGTATGACAAGTTATGACAAGATAATATGTTATTTTATATATATATATATATATATATATATATATATATATATATATATGAAGAGTTCAGATGCAAAAGCCTCTAAGTGCCATTGGAAATTTTCTTCTAAAATGATCATTTTTATCAAGCTTGTATATTTAAGTTCAGTAATTTCACTTAAATGGCAATGAAGATGACCTATTAATTTTCATTTATGTGAAATTACTGAACTTAAATATACAAGCTTGATAAAAATGGTCATTTTAGAAGAAAATTTCAAATGGCATTTAGAGGCTTTTGCATCTGAACTCTTCATATATATATATATATATATATATATAATACTAAAGACCGTTCCATTTTTGTATAATTTGAATTATGTCTTTGTTACATTGCAGACCCATGGCATCATATCAAGAACCTCGACAATTTCTTCACAAGAATATCCTTTAAAAAATATAATATTATTTTCATAGGCTGAATGGAAAAATGGGCAATTTTGTGAATGCATGAAAATCTCCCAACACTGTTTCAGTATCATTTTCTCTTTTTCATGAGAACACACTACCTCTATTCATCATTAGGCATTGATGTTTTGTTACGCTCTGGCTACATTAATGTTAAACAAAGCTGTAATTCTTTAAAACTGTTTCCACTATTATTGGAATCCAAGAGGCCTTAATCAACATGCTCACATATATCATTTTCATCAGAAGAATGGATTCGCCTGTATGGTGTTATCAGAATTTTTCGAGCTTGTGTAAGTCATATTTATTTATTGCCTGAAGCTTTAATTATTTAGGGCAGGTTTGGGTATACTAATCATGTCTGCTTTTGCATTTCCATTTTCAGGCAATTCCTGTTTGTGGTCACGTTTACAACTTTCCTCTTCAACTGTGTGGAATATGATGTTCTCTTTGCCAACCGAGTGGTCAACCACACGGGTCAGAGCCTCGGTCCTCTGGACAGGAACAAGGTCACCCTTCCTGATGCTATTTTACCCAGCGAGCAATGCACTGAGAGGTCAGTGTGTCCGGTTTATACAGGCGTATGCACTGAGAGATGCTGAACTTCCTGCTATTGCGAATTAAAATTGGCTTCGCTTGTAGAAATCTGTGGTTACACTGAATTGTGTTTGTTTGTTTGCTTATTTAGGAATACTACAAAAATCCAGTCTTTATTTACATATATATTTATATTATTATATTATTAATATTAATTTAGATTATTGATCAATCAATAAATGAATAACATATATCACTACTTCAGTGTTCTTGTCATTAACATTATTTATTAATAGGAATAAATCTAGCATAAAATAAATAACTATTAGATGAAAAACTTACTCACACTCAAAAAACTTGTAAAGAAATGTTGGCTTTGCAGCTGACTGAAATAAAATAATACTCAGTTGAAGTACTAACATTACTAAAACTAAATAAATAAGAACTAAACAGAAATATTACAAACAAACTATTAAAAATGATGGAAGAGCATAATAAAACTACTGGAACTTTAACTAAAATGAAAATATAATAATAAACGCACATTCTAAATATTAAAAAAAAATACTATGATGGTGTATAAATAATATTAAAATAATGTTTTATTTATACAGAAAATCTTTTACTGTTCAGTTTACTGTCAAAATTTGTATTTTCATTGAATCAAGCAAAGAATAGAGCTGTTCACTTCAATTAATCGGTTTACTCGACCAATTGTCAAAGTAATTGACCGATTACTAGTGACAGTCCTTTTTTAGGTTTTAGCGCTTTTGTAATATTTTAAATAATATATTTTAGAAAAGAACAAATAGGTCAACTTTTTGCAACCTGAATTGTAACAGCCAGTTTGCTGATATTTTGATATTGCACGTGAACTTTAATCATAATACACCACTCTAGGGTTATCACGTTTTGTGTTCAGTTTTCAAAGTTGTACGTTGATTTCTTATTGCGCTTTTCCTGTCATGTCTAGCTGGATTTTGTAGTTGCCTGATTTCTAACGTGCCCTGGAGCTCTGGGTGAGAATGCTGTTTTGCTCTATAGATTACGTCACACGTCATGTGACGTTCAAACCCTAGAACTAATTGGTTTCCTACTTCTCCAAAATAAGCAGGCTGTAAACAAGCATGTGTTGGGATGATCTGCTCTCTCAGAGAACCTGTTATTCTATTTCTGTGACTGTAGATGATACTGAAACTTTGTATTACGTACAGCTCATGTGTTTTAAATAGAAACAGATTTTTCCATGGTAACCCTTATCATGGACACCTAATGTTAACACTGATAGTCAGATGAAGTATAAATCAATTTACTAATGTGTTGTTCACAGAATCCGAAATGCAACGCAAACATATTAATATCACAGTTGACAGTGACACACTTCATTCAGGAACATCTTGTGCTTTCATAAAGTAATAAAGACTTGGTAAACATTCTCATTTGGTTGGTCATATTATTTTCCATATCTGCTTTCATTCTGTTTTGGAAGAGAGATTTAGTTATTCAAGCCACACTACATACACTACCGTACAAACGTTTGCGCTCTCTAACAAACGTTTTTGAAAGAAGTCTCTTATGCTCACCAAGTACTGTAAAAACAGTAAACCTGTGACATGTTTTATAATTACAAATTTAAATAATTTCTATTTGAATATATTTCAAAAAATGTAATTAATTCCTGTGATCAAAGCTAAATTTTCATCATCATTACTCCAGTTTTCAGTGTCACATGATCCATCAGAAATCATTCTAATATGATGATTTAGTGCTGAAGAAACATTTCTTAATATTATCACTGTTGAAAACGGTTGCGATTTTTTTTGTTTTCAAGATAAAATCATTTAAAATCTTTTGTAACATTATACATTTTCTGTAACTTTTGCATCCTTGCTGAATAAACACTACATTTTTGAATGGTAGTATATTATATACAATTTATATTTATAACTTATAAACGAACCCTTGAGCGATCCCATAATCATCTTTCTTCCTCGATCAGGATTCAAGGAAACAGCTGGATCATCTTTCTCTTGATAATGGCGGCCATTTTCTGGCTCTATCGGCTTGTGAAGGTGATCTTTAACGTCCTCAGCTACTGGGAGATCCGGCAGTTTTATATTAAAGCTCTGAAAATACAGATGGTAAGATGTGTGAGTTTTTCCAGAACCTAGTGTACTTCCTATCTATTCATATATCTAGTGTACTCCCTATCTAGTCTTAAATCTAGTGTACTCCCTATCTATTGTACACCCTATCTAGTCATATATCTAGTGTACTCCCTATCTAGTCATAAAACTGCATCTATATTAACCCTCAGGAGCTCTTCGGTCATTTCTGACTGTCTGAAAAAAATTTCTGTTTTGAATTTCTAAAAATTACAGCTTCATCAGAATGTTATATGTTAAAATTGGTGACTTTTATGGCATTATGTATGTGAATACAAAAAAGTATCTGACCACAGTTTCTTTGGGTGCCCTCTCAGTGCTGTGAATCTCTGGTAAGCCATTAGGAAGCCTTCAGTTGACTGGTCACTGACAACATCTGTGTGTATAGCTCTGGATGACATGAATGAATGGGAAATTGACAAAAAAAAATTTCTCTGAATTTTTGTACGTGCAATCTACAAATCGGCCACAATTCTAAAAAAAAGTACACCGCAGGAAAGGGGTGACGCTCTACAACATCTAGAGTGCAAAACAGACAAACCCACCCACCCACACATACAAACACACTTTTATACACATACACACCAATAAATTTTGATTACAAAATTTATGTTTTGAATTTCTAAAAATCACAGCTTCATCAGAATTTTATATGTTAAAATTGGTGACTTTTTATGGCATTATGTATGTGAACACACAAAAAAATTGAGGTCATGATCTGAGCATGCTAAGTGGCCTTAAAAAAATAGTCACACTTGTGGTCTTTGGTCAAAAATGACCCCCATAGGAAATGAATGGGAAATTGACAAAAACACAATTCACAAATTTTTATTTATTTATTTATTTATTTTATTTAAAAAAAAATCGTTTTTGAGATTGTTTCAACTATATTAAAATCCACCAAAAAAAAAAAAAAAGGGTTCATAAACATCTGGGGAATTCACATGCTTCCCCATAGAGAGCTGTACATCTAGTGATTACACCATGATTCTACGCCTTTTCTCTAAACTGTAACCAGATGGTGCTAATTTTCTTCAAAAAATATATATTTTTTTTCTGAAGGCCTAGAATCTATTTTAAATTAAAATACTGCATTAATAATATTTTGAAAAAAATAATATATATATAATAAAAACACACACATATATATATATATATATATATATATATATATATATATATTTTCCATGGCAAAAATAGACCATAAATAATGCATAAATATTAATAAATTCAATCAAATTGTCTCAAAATACTATATTACAAAGAATAAATATTATGGAACAAAAATAAATTGCATTGGTTTTACTGGGATGGAGGAAATTTAATTTTTAGGTGTCCAGTCACTTTTGACCGGGAAGATAACAAGTGTGACTCCGAAACGAAGAGCACCTGAGGGATAATAATCATAAAATTAATCTAAAACTAATATTTAATTTAAAAATAAATTGGCACACTAATAACCACATTCATTTGTCACACCTAAATATAAATATTTATATAATTTAATAAGAAAATAAATGAAATATAAGAGGTATAATAGGGATATCATAAATATTTTTTTTTTGTAAATAAATAATTTAGACGAATAATAAATGGTTTATATTATACTACTCATTCAAACACTGTTAAACACACTGTTTTGTGTTTTCATGAATGTTAGGATGAGCTGTGTAACTTCACATGGCAAGAAGTTCAAGGGCGTTTGATTCACCTGCAGCGTGAGCATCCCATGTGTGTCCAGAAGCGGGAACTCTCCGAACTAGACATCTACCACCGCATCCTGCGCTTTAAAAACTACACAGTGGCCATGATCAACAAGTCCCTGCTGCCCGTCAGACTGCGCGTGCCCTTCTTCGGCGACATGATTTTCCTCACGCAGGGCCTAAAATACAACTTTGAGCTCATTCTGTTCTGGGGACCCCTCTCACTCTTCCAGAACAAATGGAGCTTGCATCCTAAATACAAACGGGCGGCAAACCGGCAGGACCTGGCCAAGCAGCTGAGCCGCGTCATCCTGCTGACGGGGCTGGTCAATCTGCTGCTGTGCCCCTTCGTGCTGGTGTGGCAGGTGCTGTACGCGTTCTTTAGCTACGCTGAGGTCATCAAGCGGGAGCCGGGGAGTTTGGGCGCCCGGCGCTGGTCGCTGTACGGTCGGCTCTACCTGCGCCACTTCAACGAGCTGGATCACGAGCTGCAAGGCAGGATGGGCCGTGGGTACAAACCCGCCGCCAAGTACATGAATGTCTTTGTTTCTCCCATGTTGGCGGTGCTGGCCAAGAACGTGGCTTTCTTCTCCGGCTCGGTGTTCGCCGTGCTCATCGCTCTGACGGTGTACGATGAAGACGTGCTGACCGTGCAACACATCCTCACGGCCATCACCGTGCTTGGCGTGGTCATCACCATCACCAGGTACGGCAAGACTTTTGCATTTATTCATCTAGCAGACGCCACCTACTGTACAAGGACCAGGCAAACAAAAAATGTAATAATGAAATAAATAAAAGAAAATGAAAACGAAATAAAAGATCAAATAGGATGCACAGTACAGTGACCATCTTTGCTAAAAGAAAACCAGCTATAGACTGTTCTTAAAGATAGGCTACAACATTTATGTTGCCTTTTAAGGCACCTTATTATAGAGAACTGAGTGTGAGTTTTAACAGCAGCTCTGTTCCAGAACCTAGTGTACTTCCTAGCTAGTGACATATTTAGTGCACTCCACTATCTAGTGTACTCCCTATCTAGTTATATATCTAGTGTACTCCCTTTTTAGTGTACCCCCTATCTAGTCTTATATCTAGAGTCCTCCTATCTAGTCATATATCTAGTGTACTCCCTATCTAGTCATATCTAGTGTACTCCCTATGTAGTGTACTCCCTATCTAGCCATATCTAGTGTACTCCCTATTTAGTGTACTCACTATCTAGTCATATCTAATGTACTCCCTATGTAGTGTACTCCTATGTAGTCATATATCTAGTGTACTCCTTTTTAGTGTACTCCCATCTAGTCTTATATCTAGTGTACTCCTGATCTAGTGTACTCCCGATCTAGTCATATATCTAGTGTACTCCCTCTCTACTGTACTCACTATCTAGACATATATCTAGTGTACTCTTTATCTAGTGTTCTCCCTATCTAGTGTACTCGCTATCTAGTCATATCTAGTGTACTCCCTATGTAGTGTACTCCTATCTAGTCATGTATCTAGTGTACTCCTTTTTAGTGTTCTCCCTATCTAGTCTTATATAGTGTACTCCCGATCTAATGTACTTCCTATCTAGTCATATATCTAGTGTACTCCCTATCTAGTGTACTCCTATATCTAGTGTACTCCTTTTTAGTGTACTCCCTATCTAGTCTTATATCTACTGTACTCCCGATCTAATGTACTCCCTATCTAGTCATATATCTAGTGTACTCCCTATCTAGTGTACTCCCTATCTAGTGTACTCCCTATCTAGTGTTCTCCCTATCTAGTGTACTCCCTATCTAGTGTACTTTAGAGTTATACAGTTATAGAGTTTCCATTTAGTTAAAGATGCTGCCTATGTAGACAACGAGGAACAGAGCTAATGTGTAAAATGACTACAGCTGTGCACCTCGATATGAGACATATTGGTCCAACTACGTAAAGTAAAAGACAATGGCTCTCCGCAGATCTTCCCAGCTGGCATCAGGTCAGAGAACGAGTGGCGTCGCGTGTGTTCTGCTGACCTCGTTCCACCTAAGCATTGTAATTGTGACCTGAACACTCTCAGCACCTGTCAGCCTGCCCTGACCTGGTCTACAGTAATGCCGCGTGAATCTCTTACAGGTCGTTTATTCCAGATGAACATATGGTGTGGTGTCCCGAACAGTTGCTGCAGTGTGTCCTGGCACACATCCACTACATGCCCGACCACTGGAAGGGCAACGCCAACAAGAGCGAGACCCGGGATGAGATGGCACAGCTTTTCCAGTATAAAGCGGTGAGAACTGCATGACATTGTCAGATCATTGTTGTTTGATATCATGCCTTTTGTTCATTCATTCATTAATATACACTAATGTTAAAAAATTTGGGGTTTTCTTTTCATATCAAAAGTGACGGTAATGACATATCTGTTAAAATTGATTTCTGTTTCAAATAAATACTGTGCTTTTGAACTTTTTATTCATCAAAGAATTCAGAATTATTATTATTTTTAACGGTTTCCCCCAAAAATAAAGCAGCAGAAACAAAGTTAAAAAAAAACCTAGTAACAAACATGACTAAATTGTAAATATTTAAATAACATGGTTGTGGAAATTATATATAAATTATTTATATACTATCAACAGTCTTGATTAGCAGCGCTTGATGTAGACAGTCACTTAATTTATTAGTCGACAGCGAGAATTGAGTGAGTCTTAACTCTGTTCTAGAAGCTAGTGTACTCCCTACCTAGTGTACTCCCTATGTAATCATATATCTAGTGTTCTAAGTGTCTTGACTTTTACTTTTATAATACAGAGAGGTAAAGTCCTCAAAGTCTGAGCGCTGAAAATGAGCACGGCTGATTGTTTACCACAGGAACTGTTGAGTTTTTGGTTATCTCGAGTATGAAATGATACCTTACCTCTCTGCTCCTGTTGTCTGATCTTAGATTGTCCTCTAGGATTATTTCACACCTGTTCCTCTCATTTATGTGCGCCTGTCCTGCAGGTCTTCATCTTGGAGGAGCTTCTCAGTCCCATAATTACGCCCTTCATCCTCATCTTCCCCCTGCGGAGCAAGTCTTTAGAAATCATCGACTTCTTCCGGAACTTCACCGTGGACGTGGCAGGAGTGGGAGACATTTGCTCATTCGCCCAGATGGACATCAGGCGCCATGGCAACCCACAGGTAAATGCACATCAAAGATCACATGCACGTTTGGACATTCAGCTTGCGGTATAAATGGGTGGGTAAAGCATACCGTTTCCCCCGTCTCGCTCAGTGGATGTCTGAAGGCCAGACGGAGGCCTCGGTGTACCAGCAGGCTGAGAACGGCAAGACGGAGCTTTCCCTGATGCACTTCACCATCAAAAACCCTCGCTGGCAGCCCCCGCAGGACAGCTCGGTGTTCATCAGTCACCTGATGGAGAAGGTGCAACATGACGCTCAGACGGGACCGTCTCCTCAGCTGCTGCTGTCCGAGGCTCCTCTCTGTACCTCGCTGCTGTCCAACGAGTCCGCCACTGGGGTAAGGCACACTTCCTCATGTTCACCACTGCCTCGGACTGTATTAGGAGGATCCCTGTCATGTTCCAATCAGCATTCACAACACAGCTAGATGTAATGTAGGGTGGAGTATCTCACAGATCTTCACATTAAAACACACTTACAAAAATAAGAGATATTTAGGGGCCAAGCACCGAAGGTGCGGAGGCACCTATTGTATCTGTGCCGGTTCTTATTATTATTAGGGGCCAAGCACCGAAGGTGCGGAGGCACCTATTGTATCTGTGCCGGTTCTTATTATTATTATTATTATTATTCTTCTTCCGACTGGGCGTCTATGGCAGCCCATAGACCGGTTTGCGGGAAAGTTGTTTTGGTTTGACATTCTGATAGAGGACAGTCCCAACTTTAAATACACCAATTTTGGTGTCTCTAACTCATTCCCTCTAGCGCCACCAACTGTCCAAAGTTTCACTTTTATTATGCTAATAACTTTTGAACCGTAAGGCCTATCAACAAAATTCTTTTTTCCTCTTGTTCCTGAGCTCATGCCGATTCGATCGCACCCTATGACGTCATTTTCCGTCATAAAAAAACGGCCGCCATTTTGAATTTTCAAAAAAACCTACTTTTGCGAACTCGTCCTAGACGGTTTGTCCGATTTTCACCAAAATCGCACCGGATCATCTCCAGGCAGTGCTGACAAAAAGTTATGGAATTCAAGATGATTCGAATAACCGTTTTCGATAAACGCGTAAACAAAATTTACGTAGCGCTTGCGAAAACAGACGTGAGGTTGTATCTCCGCAACGCTTACTCGTTTTCACACCAAACTTGGTACGTGTTATCACAAGCATGACCTGAGGCTACGTGCTGCGTTTCGGCGCAGTGCCACCTAGTGGTCCGGAGATATGAAAAATGGCTATTTTTGCTCGTAACTTCTGAACGGTTTGTCCAAAAATCATAAATTTGGTCTCGTTAGATTCAGGGCGTCATGCCGAGTCCACCGATATGCAATTTTCCCAGAACGGCCATTTTGGCGGTCGGCCATTTTGAATTATGTGCTAAAATGCTGTATTTTTTGAACGCATGAACGAATTGTTACGAAACTCGGTATGGGTCATCAGTACAATGCCCTGAAGGAGCCTGAGAAGTTTCGAAACAGCGCCACCTAGTGGTGAATTTTTTATTCAAACGCTTATAACTTTGGGTGTGGTACACTTATTTTCACGGGAGTCATCTTTTTGAGTTCCTGAATCGTTGCCGAGTCCAACGATACTAAACATGCTGGGTTTCGTGTTACGGTTGGTGTAGCGTAGCGATTTAGCGCGAAAAAAACACTTGGCGATATCTTCAAATCCGCTGTTCCGATCGAGACGAAACCACCGCCAAAAACACGGAATCATAGCTCGTTAACTATACACTAATGCCCAAATGCGAAAATATTGATAGTAAGGGTAGTAAAATTCAAACAAAGTCATGTGTCAGTCATTTTTTACGTGTTTTTTCATATAAATGTTTATAACTCGGAAGTGAATTGAGATATTTGCACCAAAATTGACACACATATGTATGGGGTCACTCTGAGGACACATAAAAAAAATTTGGGACTGAGCCTCTTGGTGGCGCTATAATAGAACAAAACGTGAAATTCCCATTGACTTCAATAGAGTTTTGTGAATTAAAATTCTATACTAAACAAATGCATTGGTGTAATATTACAAAACTCAGTGTGTGCCATAAGCAGCATGCCCTGAAGGTACTCAAAAGATTTTGAGACAGCGCCACCTGTTGGTCAAAAGTTATAATTAATTTCTGAGAACGCTAATAACTTTTGAATAAATTTGCCTATTGCAATGAAACTGATCTTAATAGATTCCTTCTGTTATGCCGAAAACATAGATATCAGGTTTTCCATAATCAGACAAACTTCCTGTTCGCCATCTTTATTTCTTTGAAAAACCTTCTTTTTCGAACTCCTCCTAGACCGTTTGTCCGATTTTCACGAAAATTGAATCGTATCATCTCCAGACCGTGCCGACTAAAAGTTATGAATTGCACGATGATAGACAAAACCGTTTTCGTATACCACAGCATCAAAATGTAGGCATGCTGCCAAAATTACTATTTAGGCTTTATCTCTGCAATGCCTTCACATTTTGACACCAAACTTTGCATGTGTCATTGTCACCTCACTCTGACCACATCACATCTATTTCGTAACTGCGCCACCTATTGTTCGAAAGTGATAACCCATTAAATCATCTTATAAGTTAATGTTTATGTGATTTTCTTAGCCATTTGCCCAAAGTTCTCTCAAAATGCCCTTAATTGCTCCTTGCTGCAGTTGGTCTGCCACTCCTTGCCATTTTGGCATATGTTGCCGCTTCTTGCGCTTGGCCCGGTAATGGCTGCTTGCAGCTATATTTATTATTATTATTATTATTCTTCTTCCGACTGGGCGTCTATGGCAGCCCATAGACCGGTTTGCGGGAAAGTTGTTTTGGTTTGACATTCTGATAGAGGACAGTCCCAACTTTAAATACACCAATTTTGGTGTCTCTAACTCATTCCCTCTAGCGCCACCAACTGTCCAAAGTTTCACTTTTATTATGCTAATAACTTTTGAACCGTAAGGCCTATCAACAAAATTCTTTTTTCCTCTTGTTCCTGAGCTCATGCCGATTCGATCGCACCCTATGACGTCATTTTCCGTCATAAAAAACGGCCGCCATTTTGAATTTTCCAAAAAAACTACTTTTGCGAACTCGTCCTAGACGGTTTGTCCGATTTTCACCAAAATCGCACCGGATCATCTCCAGGCAGTGCTGACAAAAAGTTATGGAATTCAAGATGATTCGAATAACCGTTTTCGATAAACGCGTAAACAAAATTTACGTAGCGCTTGCGAAAACAGACGTGAGGTTGTATCTCCGCAACGCTTACTCGTTTTCACACCAAACTTGGTACGTGTTATCACAAGCATGACCTGAGGCTACGTGCTGCGTTTCGGCGCAGCGCCACCTAGTGGTCCGGAGATATGAAAAATGGCTATTTTTGCTCGTAACTTCTGAACGGTTTCTCCAAAAATCAAAAACTTGGTCTCGTTAGATTCAGGGCATCATGCCGAGTCGACCGATATCCAATTTTCCCAGATCGGCCATTTTGGCTGTCGGCCATTTTGAATTATGTGCTAAAATGCTGTATTTTTTGAACGCATGAACGAATTGTTACGAAACTCGTTATGGGTCATCAGTACGATGCCCTGAAGGAGCCTGAGAAGTTTCGAAACAGCGCCACCTAGTGGTGAATTGTTTTATTCAAACGCTTATAACTTTGGGTGTGGTACACTTATTTTCACGGGAGTCATATTTTTGAGGTCCTGAATCGTTGCCGAGTCCAACGATACCAAATATGTCGGGTTTCGTCTCACGGATGGCGTAGCGTAGCGATTTAGCGCGAAAAAAACACTTGGCGATATCTTCAAAACCGCTGTTCCGATCGAGACGAAACCACCGCCAGAAACACGGAATCATAGCTTGTTAACTATACGCTAATGCCCAAATGCGTAAATATTGATAGTAAGGGGTAGTAAAATTCAAACAAAGTCATGTGTCAGTCATTTTTTACGTGTTTTTTCATATAAATGTTTATAACTCGGAAGTAAATTGAGATATTTGCACCAAAATTGACACACATATGTATGGGGTCACTCTGAGGACACATAAAAAAAATTGTGGGACTGAGCCTCTTGGTGGCGCTATAATAGAACAAAACGTGAAATTCCCATTGACTTCAATACAGTTTTGTGAAATACAATGCTATACTAAACAAATGCTTTGGTCTAACATTACGAAACTCAGTGTGTGCCATAAGCAGCATGCCCTGAAGGTACTCAAAAGATTTTGAGACAGCGCCACCTGTTGGTCAAAAGTTATAATTAATTTCTGAGAACGCTAATAACTTTTGAATAAATTTGCCTATTGCAATGAAACTGATCTTAATAGATTCCTTGGGTTATGCCGAAAACATAGATATCAGGTTTTGCATAATCAGCCAAACTTCCTGTCCGCCATCTTTATTTCTTTGAAAAGCCTTCTTTTTCGAACTCCTCCTAGACCGTTTGTCCGATTTTCACGAAAATTAATCGCATCATCTCCAGACCGTGCCGACTAAAAGTTATGAATTGCACGATGATAGACAAAACCGTTTTCGTATACCACAGCATCAAAGTTTAGGCATGCTGCCAAAATTACTATTTAGGCTTTATCTCTGCAATGCCTTCACATTTTGACACCAAACTTTGCATGTGTCATTGTCACCTCCTCTGACCACATCACATCTATTTCGTAACTGCGCCACCTATTGTTCGAAAGTGATAACCCATTAAATCATCTTATAAGTTAATGTTTATGTGATTTTTTTAGCCATTTGTCCAAAGTTCTTTTAAAAATGCCCTTAATTGCTCCTTGCTGCAGTTGGTCTGCCACTCCTTGCCATTTTGGCATATGTTGCCGCTTCTTGCGCTTGGCCCCGGTAATGGCTGCTTGCAGCTATATTTTAGGATTTTTTTTTCTTTTTCTTTGCATTGTGACATTACGGTAAGCACAATGATTTTTTAAACTTTTTAAACGAGGCAATAAATAGTGACCTGATTTATAAATACTTTACAATTTTATATAAACACTTACAATATATATATTGCAATTATGAGAATGAGTATTATTATTGTAATAATGCGAGACAGAGATTAGATGAAAAAGTGCTTAATTGCAAAAAAAAAAATATATATTTTCTTAATTATTAAATTACAAATATTATTATATTATAAAATATTTTATATAAATTTTGAACGGTCGTTTAAATAATAATAATTATTATTATTAATATAATATTATTAGTTATTTATATCAGAAAAAAAACTGAGTGTGTTTATCTAAAGCTTCAGTTTTGTCTTTTAACAAACTTAATTTTAATCAGTCGAGTCCCCACTCGCCACCAAAAAAAAAAAAAAAATCATGTGAAAATGTTATGGGACACGCTTAGAAACACTCCATTCCGAAAGGAAAACGAGAGAGAGAGAAAAAACGTTTCCTGTGGCGTTCAGGATATTATAAAACCTGCCAGGAAAGACAAGAAATATTGACATTTAATTGTATCCCTCTGCATTGTTTCTGCACTTGCTGCCAGATTGGTTATTTCACAGATCATAATCGTGAGCGTCTGCAGGGTTACATCACCAGCTGGTTTTTCACATCCCTCAATGAGATGCATGTGTTTCTGCATTATTTTGGTTTTCAGCCTGATAACCTGTTAGCCAGTGTGTTGGCTCACCCTGTGCTGACTGCCTCTGGACTGCCCGGAAGGAACCGGCGCTTCATCACTCCGAACAGTGCGGCTTCAGCCGCGGCTAGTGTCCTGGCGTCGCTCTCGTCTTCCCAGCAGCCCCATGCAGGACGATCTCGCTCACACACATCCCGACAGCAGCACGACGGCCTCGTGTACTACAGCGACCACACTGTGTCCGACAGGTAACTGTCAAAAAACAATCGCAATTTGTGTCGAAATCATATCATTCAGACCGAAGTAATCCACGTTACCTTTTCTTTAGCATGTCCGCTAGTGACTCCAAGATGCTCAGCCAGTCTCATTCAGCCCTGGTGTCGGAGTTTGCATCTGCCGAGATGAGCCTGCACGCTATATACATGCATGAGGTGAGTACACCGATATACTCAAATATTAAGAACAATCCTTCATAATCCAGTATGGTTTTTCAGTAGTTTTTGGTCTTTCCCTCAGGTGCATCAGCAGAAGACCCAGCATGCACCTGGACTGTTTCAGGCCTCTGTGCCAATGAGGGACTTGAGTGCCAACAGTGGTGAGGGAACCATCGAGTTGTCTAATGAACCGTCTGATGCATATTGCACACAGAAATTGATTTTTCATAAGGCATCAGATAGTGGTGGTCAGGAAGGGTCTAGAGACTCCATTTTTTCACTCAGGTTTAAGTCTCATGGCCCTCTATCAGAATCCAGAGCTTCAAGAAGATCAGAGAAATTTAAAATTTCGCCCCCCGAAAAAAACCTGTCGACTTTTTCGGTGCAAAAAAAAAAAGTTTCTCCGATCTTCTCAAAACTCTGGATTCTGATAGAGGGCCGTGAGACTTAGACCTGAGTGCAAAAATGGAGTCTCTAGACCCTTCCAGAGCTGAGATATCGAAACTCAAAATTTCGACTCGAAAAAAAAAAAACGACAGTGGTACCCCTTTCGTTTTTTTTTGTTTTGGGCGAAAAATGAAGTTTCTCCAATCTTCTTAAAACTCTGGATTCTGATAGAGGGCCATGAGACTTAAACCTGAGTGCAAAAATGGAGGCTCTAGACCCTTCCAGAGCTGAGATATTGAGATATTTATAATGGTTAAATGCTACGTGAGATCTCAATATCTCAGCTCAGGAAGGGTCTAGAGACTCCATTTTTGCACTCAAGTCTAAGTCTCTTTATATATATATATATGCTGTAAAAGTGTTTTTTTATTCCTAGTTCATGAGACGGAATGCATGAACTAATATTCACAAATTTATAAAGTGCTCTTATGGAATGGGACTAATAAATACATTTTCAGATTGTGGCTGGTCAGTCAAGTTATTCAGTCAATAAGTGAGCGTTTCTCAGCCAGAATAAGTCGTCATCAGGTCTATGATGTCAAATGTTGAATCTTTGGGTTAATCAATCTATTTTAAATGGTATAACTCTGGCACAAAAGGATCATGAGCCGCTTCTCTCTCTCAGCTCAATTTCCCGAGACACAGACAGTCACCTTGGAGTCGCCCACTTCTGTCCGTCTGGGTGGCTGGGCTGAAGAGGAGGAGCAGGGGGACGAGGAAGAGATAAACATCAACCGTGTGCCAGATCAGACCAGCAGAGGGAGCAGCTGAAGTGCCTTCAACCTGTACGGTGCGTGTCCACATCAACAACATCGCTTATGTCACATTATGTTAATAAATCATTCGATTTTACGCAATATCGCTATATATAAAGTGCTAAATGAATCAAATTCTATATTATAAATGGGTCAACATCTGTTTTTTGCAGGTTTTGTGTTGATTTTTTGGGAGTTGTGGCCTTGCTTTGAAACCTTTTGATAAGCATGCTGGGACGCCACACCAAGCATGCTGTTCCAGGGGCCGCTGGGTCCTCTGGACGCACGGTCTTCCAGTTCAGAGGAACTGATGTAATGGACTGCAAGAGTATGTCTGCCACTCTCCCTCCCTCCTCACATCAATCACATTTAAGACTGCTGTGTATGTGTGTGTGTGTGTGTGTTTTGTTTCTGACATGACAGGATGACACTTGTTTTACAGTATTTATTTCCATTTAATTTTTTCCTCATGCAATGTTTGATTTATTTGGGTTAGGGCAAGTAACTTTCTCCGCGCCGGCAGTATTTACTTTACGCGCTGCTTCGGTTTTGAGGGATGAAAACATCCTTTATCGTAGTATTGCTAGTGTGACTTTAGCGTTACAGAGCGTTAGCACGGGCGGACAGAGAAACTTCACTGAATGTAAAATCATACCAGTTGCCTCATAAGAAAAACATACTATTCAACATATAATTTTTTTTTTTCCTTGAAGAAAATATAATATATAGAATTTTGCCTAGTTTAATTTAAATGAAACAAAAGTTGACAGATATTAATAAAATGCAATAATATTCATCACATTTTACCAAAAAGGGTTTGATTTGCAGGGGAATAGAGTTCAAATCGTATTTTTGTTGAACAAGTCAGTCTGTCATGAGCGCATTTCATCATCTACACTGACAAATGTGCTTGTTTTAATCTTTAGATGATCACATGACTGCATTAAATGACGCTGATGATGCTATAAGAATGAAACAAGCTAAAGATACGTTCGAGTTAAATGTCGAAAAAATATTTAAATTAATAAAATGTTAGGATTTTTTTTCAACTTGTAAACAACCTTTTTAACCACTCAACAAGTTACAAATAGCGACTATTCAAGGTTAAACTGACTAAACCAGTGAATGTCATGTTTTTAAGATGTGGATTTGGGATTTGTACTTTGCACCCAACCGATAACAGTCTCTTTCCAGTGTGATGGCCTAAATATTACACATCTTTCAAGCCGTATCCCAGAATTCATCCGTTTAAGCAGTTCCTGTCTCGTGTCCGAGTAGACCCGAAACTGAAAATTTCTGTGTGGAGTTCAATCCGTTTTTAAACTAGAATCCGCCGTAGAACAAATAGTTTGTAATGAATGTGCTCTCAAAAAGGTTTGCCTCTGTGAAATATGAGCATCACAAGAGCCTGAGGGCTTTTTGATAGTTTACACACGGCCTGAACGACGCAGTGGCCAGAGCTTTCAGAAATCACCTACTTGAAATACTGCAGCAAATGGATGTTAGAGAGCAGTTTATAAGGGTAACGGCATTAATATCATACCCACCGAAATACCTCCCAGTGTACCTTAAGATCGCATATGTACAGTATTTATTTGTGTGGGTGTGACGTTATTGAACGAACACGATCAGGATGACGAGCGATTGCAGTGTTACGGGATTCTGGAGTTTTTCCCACACAAGCGAAACACTTTGTTTTCAGCTCTGTTATCTTCAAGTCTGGGGTCGAACTGTGCCAGGTGCTATATATTTGTATATTTAATTTGTTTCTATATTTGTCTCTTTTTGTTGGATTTTGACTTGTTTTGTCTGATCGAAATAACACTATCGAAAAAATAAAATAAACCACACCAAAACCTGTATTTGCTGTCTTGGTTGATCATTTCAGGCACCAGTGCTGTTTTAGTATTACAGTATTTCTTTCTAGCTTTTTTTTCCATTTTCAGTTTTCATTTGTTAGGCATTTTATGTTTTTAGGGTTAGTTTATCATTATTATTTTAGATTTGTATAGCTTTTAATTTCAGTTTTAGTAATTTACAAAAAGATAAATAATAATAATAATTTAAAAATTGCAAAATACTTAAACAAAAATTAGGATTGTTGCCTTGGGAATACAGTGACATAAGTTTAAAGTGTTTAATACTTCTATATAATTATTGTATTAATATTTTGAATTTATTTTTATATTCTCAGTTTATTATTTATTTCATCAATTTAGTCAGTAATTTTATTATGTGCCTTAGGTTAGTTTGTCTTTTTTTGTATTTAGCTTTTTTTGGCAATAAACTAAAATACATTTGTTTTTTAATCTTATATTTATATTTGATTATAGTATTTCTTAATTATAAGATTATACTATATAATTATAAGACTATTTTATATATATATATATATATATTCAGTTAAAATTTTAATTTAAGGTAGTAATTTTCTGCTTAGGGTTAGTTTGTAATTTCTATTATGTTTTAGATTTGTAGAGCTGTTTTATTTCAGTTTTAGTCAAAAAAAAAAAAGCAAAATACTTGGCTATGAACTAGTTGTAAACTGAAACAACTAAGTTTTTCCATCAAATATTTATATTTTAGGTTTATTTCAATGTCTGAAAACAATTCGTTTAATAGTTTTAGTCAACAATAACATCACTGTCAGGCTTAGGCAATGTTTACACGGAAACGATTCTGAAGAGAAAACGCAAAAGTGGCGTTGCGTCATCACTTTTTATTCTGCGTTTAGACGAGCGTTTTGTGTGGGAAATCCGCGTGCAAATGGTGACGCAAAAGTGTGTGCAATTCAATGTAGTATGCACTTCAGGCGGCTAGGAGTGCATACTACAACAAGACTAAGTCCACGTGCCTGCGTACAACCTTCACTGTCAAGCAGACTTTGGTGTTTTTACCCTTTATACGGGAACGTGGTGTTTCACTTTTTTGCGTTTTTAAGCCTCAAAAACGCCGTCGCCATGTACACGAAAGCCACATCCGATAAAATATTTTTACGTTTTCACCCGCGAGCGTTCTCGTGTAAACAGGGCCTAAGACGATATAAACAGACAAAAGCAGGCCTGACATTACACACAGAATCAACAGACAACCATGTTAAGAGATGGTTAAATATATTGTTTATTATACTGGATCATTTACATGTCACATCTCTCCGTTTTAAAATCGCGATACCTGTACTAGAAATCCCATTGTGGTTTATATAAAACAATACAATAATACATTGTTGCTGAGTGCAGAAAACATGATGGAAGATGATATCTTGCCTTTAACCACAATGCAAAGCACTGTAGTGAAGCTGAAGCTCCCCAAAATGTACCTGGACACTTAAATTACACTTAAAACGGTCACTAAAATGTCCGAACGAACATGACTTTTCCACGCCGTTTTTCCACCAACAGGCCTCAAGGTGATTCACATCAACTATAAACATGATCCACTAAGATTTGAAATATCTTCATTTTGTACAGTACATCCAACTCTCTTTGTGAAATGTTTTGCTTCGAAAGTGTGCTTGTGCTTTGTTTTTTAAACAAAAAACGCCATTCAGTTTGATATTTTGTATCGGTAAAACGTTATTTTGAAAGTCCACTTTAGACATTCTACTAACTATAAGTAACTTTGCTACTACATGTAACTAACAGTGAAAAAATTAAAGAATGTTAAAGAACGTAACACACACCTCCCCCGGAAATCCTGTAGGATTCAACCAATCAGATGAAGAATACTAGACTAGACGGAGACTAGACTAGAAGCAGCTTTGCAACTCATTCTATTGAACCTAACCCTAACACAACAATCTAACAAGAGTTAGTTGATATGTAGTTAGTAGAATGTCTGAAGTGGACTATTGAAATAAAGTGGAACCTTTGTATCTAATGCAATGAAATTCAGAAGTGTTGCTTAAGTGTCCAAATACTTTCTGGGGTATTTTTGAACATGTATATATGGCATACATGCACTCACCTAAAGGATTATTAGGAACACCATACTAATACTATGTTTGACTTTCACCTTCAGAACTGCCTTAATTCTACGTGGCATTGATTCAACAAGGTGCTGAAAGCATTCTTTAGAAATGTTGGCCCATATTGATAGGATTGCATCTTGCAGTTGATGGAAATTTGTGGGATGCACATCCATTCGTTCCACCACAGCCCAAAGATGCTCTATTGGGTTGAGATCTGGTGACATGATACATTATCCTGCTGGAAGTAGCCATCAGAGGATGGGGACATGGTGGCCATAAAGGGATGGATATGGTCAGAAACAATGCTCAGGTAGGCCGTGGCATTTAAACGATGCCCAATTGGCACTAAGGGGCCTAAAGTGTGCCAAGAAAACATCCCCACACCATTACACCACCACCAGCAGCCTGATCAGTGGTAACAAGGCATGATGGATCCATGTTCTCATTCTGTTTACGCCAAATTCTGACACCATCTGAATGTCTCAACAGAAATCGAGACTCATCACACCAGGCAACATTTTTCCAGTCTTCAACTGTCCAATTTTGGTGAGCTCTTGCAAATTGTAGCCTCTTTTTCCTATTTGTAGTGGAGATGAGTGGTACCCTCAAGGTTGTGTGTGTTGTGGCTTCACAAATGCTTTGCTGAATACCTCGGTTGTAACGAGTGGTTATTTCAGTCAAAGTTGCTCTTCTATCAGCTTGAATCAGTCGGCCCATTCTCCTCTGACCTCTCGCATCAACAAGGCATTTTCGCCCACAGGACTGCCGCATACTGGATGTTTTTCCCTTTTCACACCATTCTGTGTAAACCCTAGAAATGGTTGTGTGTGAAAATCCCAGTAACTGAGCAGATTGTGAAATACTCTGGCACCAACAACCATGCCACGCTCAAAACTGCTTAAATCACCTTACTTTCCCATTCTGACATTCAGTTTTGGAGTTCAGGAGATTGTCTTGACCAGGACCACACCCCTAAATGCATTGAAGCAACTGCCATGTGATTGGTTGATTAGATAATTGCATTAATGAGAAATTGAACAGGTGTTCCTAATAATCTTTTAGGTGAGTGTATATATGGCATATATATATATACGAGTGATATATAAATATATATATGGTAGAAAAAGGAAGACACCTGTAACTTCTAGGTAGACCCCCAAAACATAAAAGAATCAAATCAAACTGTTTGAGTAATGTGTCAAGTTTTCAACGGTATCATCTGAATATTTCCTAGTGGATGGGGAACCATGATCTATGAGTGGGATTTTTAGTGCTCATTTTAATTAACATGAGTGTTGAACTCTTTAAGACGCGTACAGTCTTTGCCACTTAAAATAATGAATTATCTCCCAGAGGAAACAATCTGAATGGCTTCACATGTTCTTGGAATTCATGGGATTGGATGGGAAGAGTAGTGAAGCTTTCATAGGATCATTACACATAAAATGCATCATTCATAAATCTAAACATTATTCAACAACATCCCATCTGGTCACTGCCAAGTAAACGGAAGTGGAAATAAATAGAGTAACGTTAGCGTGTCGAAATAAAACAGCATGAAGAGCAAATTGCTGGTAACTCAGGTAGTACCGAAAGCATCTCGTTCCTTCTGTTTACCTGACAGCTAATAATTAAGACTTGAAGGTAATATACGGTTTTCATTAACACATTATGCATATTATTGCACTTATATATATATATATATACACAAAATATGAACAGAGACAAACATTCTGAATGGTTACACGTTTCCGAGTACTATCACAGGGCTGAATTCAGTCAAACCGCAGTTAAAGCTTACGCGATTATTATACAAAAAAGTGCCAAAATAGATTAAACCTTGGCCAAACCGTCTGTATCTATAACAATTTTTGTGCAATATTAAAATGCTTTCTTTTTGAGATTTGTTTAAGGCGGCTTGATCAAATTAGGCCCACAGTGTTCACACAGGATTCAAGAAAAGCACAGAGGAAAAAAATACACTCTCGGATGAAATACCCTCACAGTATTTGCACGTTTGAAATCGTTCGAAAAGAAAGGTCATGATGAAATCTACCAGGATTTTCCACAATGTCAAACAAACAGAGGCTGTGATGTTCTTAATAAAACCTGAGTTTTGTTCTGGAAGTGTTGCCTATTTGTACTCGATGATGATATATTGATTCTATTCAGGTGTCACATTGTTTGTTTGTTTTGAACTATTTAACATGTACGTTTTCATGGACTTACACTTCTTTTGGAGTCTATCTGATATATTTCACAGTTTTCCGTCGTGTCCTAAGCCGTCCCGTCGCCTGCGTCATCAACAAGCGAACTCCTCGAAGTTGCCTATAGCCGGGTGACTAGGTAGCACGTTCGGCGCGAATCCGAGACTGTCCGAGTGACTCCGGAGTGTGTCGCATGTGCTCTGCAACAGAAGGAATGGAAGATTTCGGGGGGTGGGAGTGTGGAGATGAATTCATGTCAGGACGTCCAGACGCATTTACAACAAAGGAAATAAACAAAAATGGGAGAGAAATGAACAAGGGAATGTAAATAAAACAGCAGACAGAACATCAGTGATGCGATAATGAAGAATGCATGTCAAATTTGATTAAAAAAAAAAAAAGAAAAAGAGGAGGAAGAATTCACGGATAAAGGTATGGATGAAGGGAGTGGGGAAGAAAGAAGGTTTCTTAGTCTTGATTGTCTGGAAATCTTGCAGCGAACTTTGCAATCACAACCCAGCAGGATGCATGAACTTAATTCAGTGTCAGTCCAGTGAAGCTCATGTGTGTGTGTCTGGGACTCATTGTGTGTAGACCTGTGATGACATCACAAAGAGATGCATCTAGTGATGCTATTGGATACGGCCCTCAAATAATGGAAGCCATTTTAGCCTTTCAGGCTCAATTTTTGATACATTTTTGATTTACCTTTTCCATAGAATTATAGTAAGGTCACTGTTAAATATAAATAGTAATACACAAATATTAACATCTAAGTTTATCATTTATTTGTAGCATACATTTTTATTATAAATACAATTATTATACTATAAAAATGTGTTTTTGTTTTTAATTTCCCTAATTTCTATATTTTTAAGGTAGCAATTAACTGGTTCTTCTGTTTGTGCAAGAATAGAATAGAATAGAATAGAATAGAATAGAATAGAATAGAATAGAATAGAAGCCGATTACCACATAATAAATTAACGGGTTCATCAAAATAAAATCAAATATAAAACATCTCAATGAAATACAAATAAAATGAACAATGTGTAGCTTGTATATTTGTTAAAGCCATCTATTAAATATAAAATCTGTATTATGTGCTTTATTTAAGTCGTAAATGAATTGATTTGTAAATTGAATAAACTTTCAAACAGTGTGTATTTTAATGCTTATCCAGGTGCTGAAACGTTCACTGTGCATAAACTGATGGATGAATTAAAATAATCTGCGATAATCAATAACATATAACAGATGCCTACTGAACATGCAAATGTTTAAGAAAAAGACACAGTAGTAATTCCCCTGGCAACTAGGCTTATTTTTCATATTCCATAAGCCGAAGCTTTGTCATTGAGTAAAAATAAGTCTTAAATAAAGCAATAAAGCTGCAGCTCTGGGTCTCTCGTCTCCTCTCTGCTTAGCATTTCCTCTATCATATTAACATTTCTTTGCTTTGTTTATGACTATAACATTCAAATCAATTCTTGGATCAGTCTAATATATTGTGACTACGCACAAATGTATTTAATGTGGCTGTGTTTAAAAATTCATGCGATGAGCCGTATTCAAAGCAAGAGCGATATGGGAACGTTCTCTTATAAGATGTCCTTTTCCATCATATTTCCACCTTCTTTCATCATTCTTCTGTCCTCCAAAACAGCACAAGCTTCCACCAAATGCACGCTGTTTATCTAAATCTTGACCTTTCACTTAGACAAACCTTTCAGTATAGCATAGAGCAAGTTGTTGATGCCCTGGTGTCATCACTATAGAATAAATAAAATAGAGAATCAAAAAAGTGGCCAAATTTTTGTCAACAGGAAACATTTCATTAATAAAAAAAGGAAAAAAAACTTGCTGAATATAGTTCTTATCAGTGTATAAGCAAAAGTACAAGCACTTCCTGTCTCCAGAACATCTCTTTACTAGGCTGGAAACATTCAATCATACAGTTGCGAATGATATCGGGCTTTCGCACCGGGTAGTTCATTTTAAGGTACACCCGGAGAACTACATTTACCACTACGGACATTTTGCTTGTTCAATTCGCACGAGAGCGAAGTCATTTAAGTGCGGCATTTAACAATGTCAACAACTGTAGTGTAAAGTTAAAAAATGCTAGACTTCGGCGTCTGTCCATCCGTCGCTGTTTTCCATGTTTGTGGAGTAAGTATATGTAAGCTGTGTGTTTACATGACTCTTATAACATGCCAGGTGCCGGAGTTTCGTGTGACACGCGTCAAAGTACACTTACGTCACTGAGTGCTGAAGTTATGACGTCACTTTGTAGGCCAAAACGCGGAAGTGAGTTAGCATTTTAGCACTCCCAGTTCCCTCGCTCTAAAGTCTAGGAGATTTTTGAATGGGTTTTTGCTAAATCACCTGAAATAAGGTCTGTGGTGAACAAAGCCTCTAAATATGTTCACGTTTTGATCTATGACATAAAACACACCAGTTATAACCTGCTTGTGTTTTTTAAAAAACTTTATAGGCTTCAAAATGTATACATTTTGGATTAACTTGTAAAGATTATCTTGATAGACAAAATGTGTAAGGGTCACAACTCTTTGTTGAACACAGATTTTATTTTTTGCGATTTTCCAAAAGTCTATGGGGGAAAATGCATAGCTTTTCGATCGAGGGAACCCATGCGCCGCTAACTTCCGAGTTGTCCTACAAAGTGTAGTCATAACTTCGGCACTCTATTGTGCTGGGTTAGACCCTACTTTAAAAGGTGTTCCCCATTACTAAAATGTTTCCAGTTCCTTCGGTGCCAACGCACCAAAAACTCGGTACTTCAGCCGTATGAAAACATTCCTCCGGTGCAAAAGCCCCTAAAGATGCCTGAGAAATTCACAATTCATACACAGACGTTTACACTAAGTAATCTGAACTCCAATTAGTCAATTAGTCAAAGTGTTCTTACGTCATATGAAAGAATTGTGAAAATCAACGCTATTTTGACAATGCAAAAATCACTGCAAAAATGTTGAATCCGGACAGGAATATGAGCTAGATTCAGATACTTTCTTATTATTCCAAAGAAAAATAAGAAGAACGACATGAGGGTGAGTAAATAATGACAGAATTGTCATTATTGGAGAAACTAAAAAATAATTCACGTGTTTACAAAAGGCCTGTGTTGCTATATTTTCCCTTTTCTTAAAGTTTTGATGAGATTTCACATCTGCAACATGACAGTGTGAATGTTTCCATGTCTCAAACTTTGCAGACCAAATTTATACTCCACCATTCAAAAGTTTGGGGTCAGTAAAATGTCTATATGTTTTATAAATAAGTCTCTTCTGCTCACTAAGGCTGCATTCATTTCATCAAAATACAGTAAAAGCAGTAATATTGTGAAATATGATTACAATTTAAAATATTTTTTCAAATATTTTAATTATATATATATTTTTTTTTTAAAAAAAACTCATTTATTCCTGTGAGTAAAGCTGAATTTTCATCATCATCACTCCAGTCTTCAGTGTCACATGATCCATCAGAAATCATTTTAATATGATTAATACATTTCTTATTATCAATGTTGGAAAAAAACTTTTTTTCAGGATTTTTGATGAATAAAAAGTTCAAACATCCAGCATTTATTTGAAATGGAAATCTTTTGTAACGTTATACATTTATTTACTGTCACTTTTGTTTCATTTAATACAAATAATTAAAATATTACTCAATAATAAATCAATTTAAAAGTATTAAATCTTACTGACCCCAAACTTTTGAATGGTAGTGTAATTAAGACACACATACATATCTATATTTCTTATTTGATTTTTGGCATCATTTTGGTGAAAGAGAACAAAACATGAACTGCTGGGAGGAAAACAAAAAGAAGAAAAAACTCAAATAAAAGCAAGTGAAAGCTACAGGTGTTGTTTTACCTGAACTTCTGCAAAACATCATCTCCATCTTGAAAGCTACAGGGTTTTGAAAAAGGGATCTTAGAATGCGTAACAATGACATTTGTTCATGTCTAGAACTACTGACATTCAATGTCACGAAGGGAAAAGACTCTAAATGGCGTGAATAATGCAAGGATTTTAAAGAAGGACACAATGAAATGCTTCTGCAATATTATTAATGGCGGCGCTACCTGGGGACATGGTTAGGCGTGACACCAGGGCTGGTGGAAATCTCGGGGGAATCCTGGAATAAACATGATGGAAAGAGATGAAGATGACCAAACCCAAGCGGAGGCCAATTCAGCTCAAACTTACTATATGCAAGAATGAAATTCAACATTTCGCATTCATTATTTTAACATATTTCAATACATTTACTAATTAAATATATATTTCTTAGATATATTTGAAATATTTCACATTTATTTGGTTTGAAACTGAATTGACCTTCACCAGATTTATGACAAAATAATACAGTGCTGAAAAAGCAATGGTTCAGTTGTTTCTCTAAAATATACATTTTACATTTAATCTAACTAATCCTTCACTTTATTTTAATGGATTCTAATAACATCAAAACAATATTGTAAAACCAAACAGCACTAGCCATGAACTACGACTTAAAAATCATGAGTAAAAGTTTTGAATACTAAAACTAAACAAAATTTTACTGCATTAATTCTGAAGTCTCAAAAGTTTGCTAATCATGTAGTGTGGTGTGAGCTTGTTAGCATATATTAAAAGGTACACCATGTCACTTTTTTGTTCAAATTCAGAGTCAATATTATCAATCCTTTTTCCAAAACGTGTTTGTCTTACCTTGATTAACTATAGTGAGTCTATTATAAGCGTTTTAGCTTCATTTTAGACCAGTCGGGACGGTTTTCTCAGGAAATCGCGTGCATACGTCACGTCTCTTCACATACGCGAGTAGAGAACAGTTGCTCCGGCTCTGCTGTTCGAGTGGCAGTGGGTGGTGTCACAACGAGTGAGAAAGGTTGACCGTTTTAAAGAAACGCCAAACAGACATGAGTATGCTGGCAAAAAGAGCTCGTAATAAAACAAGAATCAACACTGCTTGGCTTTTTGGAGATAGTGAGAACTAAAGGATCTAAAATATTGTAAAAGAGACACAGAGATGGCGTTTTTATCAACCAACAGGTGAGTACGGTAATTTGATCAACAGATAAACTGTCATACGTCCTTGTAAAGAATTCATTTAAATTACGTATTATTTAGTAGCGTGTCTAGATATAATAACGTCTTCAGCTGACTAGCTTGAGATCCTTTTATATCTAAACTGGTTCTACATCTATAGTCGTGAATGTTTTATGAGCGGGAGAATCTCCATATTCATCCGCAGAGTCGAAGCACAACCTCAACATTGTTATGTAAAATGCATGCAGTTTTGTTTTTGAACTGCTAGAGGGCTGAAAGTTTCATGGTGTACCTTTAATGTTTCATCAGTGATGTCCTGGTGCATGCTGGAAAGGACTCAGAGGGGAAAATGATGGATTGTTGTCTGCTATGGTATGATATGGCACAATAATGGTGAATGACGCTGATGTTGTGGTATTTAAATGCCCTGTCATATTGCAGTTTTCTTGAATAAACTGAACAGTTCAGTCATCATTTACTCAACAGCTCTTTTTATGCAGTCAGAACAGCGGTCATGTTTGGAACATGTCAAAAACACCATCATTTAAAGCACCATAAAAAGAGTCCGATGTCATCCAAGATGTCCATGTATTTCTGTCTTCAGTCGAAAAGAAATTAAGGTTTTTGATGAAAACATTCCAGGATTTTTCTCCATATAATGGACTTCAATGGGGTCCAAACGGTTCAAGTACCAAAAGACAGTTTTAGTGCAGCTCCAAAGGGCTTTAAACGACACCAGACAATGAATAAGGGTCTTGTCTAGCAAAATGAACAAAATGACTCAAAAAAAAAAAAAAAAAAAAAAAAAAGATTTGGTCGTTTTGAGGAACGAGTTTGAACAGGAGTCATGAACGCTCATCACAGAACAGAGCAAGGAAGCATTTGAGCTTATAAAACTTAAACTTTTTTATTTAATTTTTAAATGAGCAATCGTTTCACTTGATAAGACCCTTATTCATCGTCTGGTGTCGTTTAAAGCCCTTTGAAGCTGCACTGAAACTCTCATTTGGACCTTGAACCGTTTGGACCCCATTGAAGTCCATTATATGGAGAAAAATTCGGGAATGTTTTTAACCAAAAACCTTAATTTTTTTTTCGACTGAAGAAAGAGAGACGTGGACATCTTGGATGACATGGGGGTGAGTAAATTATCAGCAAAAGTTTTTTTTAAAAGTCAACTACTCCTTTTATATTTCATTAGTTCTCTCATTTTTGCATGTTCAAAATGTATTTGTATGACAGCCTGGTCAAAAATGATGTCCACACTATTTCATTGCATTATCACAAATAAAACAATTCAGTCCAAGCACAACTATGCAATATACTTACAAAATGTTTATCAAATGTTTTCAATCAAATTTGAATTAAAGGTCAGTTTTCTTAGGCGGTACATCACTTTTGGCCACTACTGTATCATGAAGGTGCATTTTTTTTTTCCTTTTTAACAGCTTGACAGCGTTTGGTGATTATGCTTTCGCTTTATGGAGAAGAACATGGAAATCCGGCAGAACATCATCTTTTCTGTTCCATGGAAGGAAAAAAGTCATCCGGGTTTGGAAAGACATGAGAGTGAGTAAATGATGACATTTTTAGATGAACCTTTTTTGAACTTAACATGGAAAAAAGAAACCGACTTCTTGGACGAAATATTATCCTGTGATGGAAAGAAACTTGATTTCATCAGTGATATAATCCAGACAGGGTCGGGTGGAAACTCTCAAACCAGAATGCCTTAAAAAAAAAATCAAATGAACTCAACTTCACTAACAGATCGTAAAAACGAGTCTCACTCTTACTTCTGTCTACACTGCATTTTTTATATACTGTAAAATAATAACGCTAAAATCAAATAATAAAATACTGCAGGAAGTCCTAATTGATTTAATAAAAAGCATAGATCATCTGCTAATTTGTCAGAAATAAATCTGACACAAGGTTTGTCACAAGCGAAGGGTGATAGATAGACATACTAAACATTTCTAAAACTTGTCCATTTCTGGTTTTGATATTTGTCCTTATTCAAACATAAACCAATGTCTTTTCTCTTATGTGGAAAGGCCATCTTCATCAATCATTTCCCAGAATTTGAGCTAAAGACAAAAAGCTACTAGATGCATGCAGCATTCGAGAGAAAAATCCAAACAATAAGAAACACAACAAAATGAACAAAACCAACATGCGCACATTCAGAGCAACACAGGAAGCACAATTACCAGATTGTCACTAGCGCTCCGATGAGGCCGTCTCTTGCGTAGAAAATATCCCAGCACTTTGTCCTTGAAAACCTGCAGAATGAAAAATGGTGCCACATTCTTTACATATATTGTCAGCAAATTACTGTTCATTAAAAACGATCCGAATATTACTTGTAATCTTGAGCATATTACGGAAAAAGCTCAAATTAGATAAACAGGAATGCAACGGACCTCATACAGATAATCAAATATCTCCAATATTGTCAAGACACTGGCTCCTATAAACAGACCCATCTGACCACCAATATCACCTGGAAGAATAGAAAAATATAATCAAATACTGAAGCAGAAGGCAACATGGATTGGCAATACAAGTAATAAGGCTGTTATTATTCATAATGATGTACAATTTGCTCATTTTTGGAGATGGTCCTCACTGCAGAACATGAAATCCACGGGGATCCAACTCCTCCCACCTTAAATTTAACTTAACCTACCCAGCTCCACCCCTTGATCCCTAAACCCACCCCTAAACCTACCCAACTCCACCCCTCAGATCTGGATCCGACTCCGCCCCCTGGATCTTGTGTACTGCAATGAGCTGCTTCTGCATTTTTGCGCACTTACCAAGTAATCCAGCAACTTCATACGCCTTCTTTTGTTCAATTTTCTCGTAGTTCAGAGCCTCAAAAAAGATATCCAGCACCAATATGTTGTCCCTGTAAAATGACACATCAAATGGCTGTTCAGGACAGGTAAATAACACGCATGTCAGTGTGTAACTAACTTAAATTTAAATGTAAACTCACGCGATGTACTGTTCCGTTTTGTTGAACTTCTTGGCGAGATATTTTGCAGAAGCTTTGCTGGGTATTTTCACCATGGACAGCTCTTTACCGTATCGAGTCATGTTGCATGGCGTCTCGCAAACGCAGTAATCGTTGTCCTTCTCCACGAGAAAATCTGTCAATCATTTTTGTGTTTGTTATTAGTAAAAGGAAAATTAGCATGAGAAATCATGAAACATATTTTAATGGCATCATCCTACAGAAGCTGCAGAAGTCTGACATGGTCTTACACATTATTAGGTAGAGATAGAAATACAGTCACGCATCACGGCACACAGCCTCTTACCTAAAGCTGGATCCGCACAGTCTTTGTACTGCTCGGGTGTGCAGACGGTGGAGGTGCCTGTGACAGACATCACAACACTTCATTAAAACAGCTAAGAACAAAAATAACACAATAAAATAAAACAAAATGTACAATTCTGTGAGTGTGAACAAAATGTTTGTTTTTTTTAAAGTATGAGGAGTGATTGTATAAAAACATGGACTGGATTTTTTTTTTTTTTTTATATAAAATAAAAAATATATATGTAAAAAAATAAAATGGTACAATTGAGAATAAAATTCTGTAGGTTATGAAAAAGCAAGCGCGAGGAAAGATTTTACATTTATAAAATAAATTAAAATAAATTCAATAACTGAAAATCTGTAGGTGTGAATAAGTAAGTGTGAGGAGTGATTGTATAAAAAGAGTGATTTATTTAAAATAAAATAAAAACAAAACAGTGAAATTAAGATGAGCATTTGGTAGGTGTGAAAAAGCAAGCATGACGAGTTCTATTTGTTAAAAAATAAAAATAATAAAATAATTTCATTCGTGATTATGTAAGTGTGAATAACAAGAGTGAGTAAAGATTTTAGATCTATAAAATATTGAAAATTGAGAATAAAATTCTGTAGGTGTGAATAAGCAAGCACAAGGAGTGTATTTTATTATTATAAACAAAATAATAAAATATTAAAAAGTTAAGAAAACTGCATATAAAGAACTATACCAATTTTTTTATTCTCTTAATATGGGCACTGAAATAAAATGTGCTACTTTTGCATGCAATGCATTCAAAATATGTGGTGATTCTTCTTGCTTTTAATTCTACAGTGGATTTGCGTTGAAATGCTAACATGCCTGGCATGTGCACCATCCTGCAGTTGCAGTTTTCCAGCAGGTAGCGGGTCTCGCAGTCGATGCGACAGGCTGTGATGCTGTAGGTGGAGAAGTATTCAGAGTCCATCGGGGCGGATCTGCAGTCACCCCACGGCGGAGGGAGATACTGGAGCTGTGGCAGAAACTTTTATTACTGGAAGGATAAAGCTGTTCAATAACAAATCACAACACACTAAACCCGAGCCAAGGAGCGCAGCAATCAAAAGAGGACATCAGCGGAAAATAATAAAACCCACGGTGCAATCAGACACTTTTCACACTGAAGAAAAGCATGTGGGTTATGAATGCAATATTCCACAGAACGAAACATGCTGGAAATCAGTGTTAGTCGAAACCTGAAGAAAACCAGAGATACGAACTGACCTGCTGTTGCTAGCTCAAACAAGCTTTATAGGAATGGATGTTGTTGTTTTTTTTATATATGTATACATTTTTAAAACATTTTTGCAGATAAAAACACTTCTTTATAAATTGTTCAATTGCACAATAACATGACCAAAACCTGCAGCGACTGAGAATCAGAAGCTTCTCACAATCAATTGAAAAGAGAAAATCCTCATTAGAAAGTGATCACACTCTTCAGTTCCTACCAGCCCTGTAATGACCATAATCAATATGCAGGGTGCAAGCTCACCAGTAACATTTGACTATTGCAAATTACTCACTTCTGATTAAATTAAAGAGCCTTTTAATAAGAATCGTATAAAAATATAATTGGATTTTATATCATTTTGCATATCTAATGCACCAGTAGCGAAGATGATCCTCCCATTAAATTAAGTCACATGACTGCAAAAAGCATCACATAATATATGCGTTTATGGTGGATTCAGAGAACTTTGATGTTAAAAAGGAATTAGAAAATGTAGGTCAGTAAATTGAAAGCAAGATTAGAAGCGTGCGGTTGCCTTTAGCACTTGATTATTTCAGCTAATTGATCTATTGCGAAGGGTCGATGAAGACATATTGATCTTGGCAGCGAGAGCTGCTTTTGCCTTTGATCCACTGAAGGCTGTAAACGAGAGCTTTTCTTGACCTCCTGCCAATTAGTTCTGCTTAGAAACTCACGAAATTAGTTCTGCTTAGAGTCAGATACTCACAAGGAGTCACGTGACCTCAGCGCACATAAAAAAAAAACACTGTTTCCCTGGCTGCGATCAACTCAATAACAAGAACACTATGGAGGACAAGGAGTGACGCTTAAATGAAAAGATACAAGACTGAAAATAAAAGTAAGCTCACAAATTAACGTTTAAAACGGTTTATAACTATTTGTTTAAACTGTATTGAAACAAAATTAAACAAATGATTTTATTTCTTAAAACATGTCATTATTATTTCCCACTAGATCTCTACTGTACTTTAGTTTTACTAGATAAATTGTACTTAAAAAATATTATAACTTAAAATAACTGTCTTCTATTTGAATACATTTATAAATATAATTTATTTCTGTTCTGAAAAAGATGATTATTCCAGACCAATATAGACTACTCCCTATCTAGTGCACTACACTATCTAGAGTACTTCACTATCTAGTGTACTTCCCTATCTAGTGCTCTCCCTATTCAGAGAGTTTTGATGTTAAAAAAGAAGAGGAAGTAGAAAATGAAATCTATATTTAAAAAGGTTTATAAATATTTGTTTAAATTGTATTGAAACAAGAACAAATGATTTTATTTCTTAAAATATGCCATTATTATTTCCCACTAGATCTCTACTGTACTTTAGTTTGCTAGATAAATTGTAGCAACTAGTAAGATCATAATGTCCAGTAATACTTAAAAATGTCCTTTAGAATCTTGATATGTAAGAGTGCTGGTCGGGTTGGTACCGATCAAAGGTTTGGGGTCAGTGAGTCTCTTCTGCTCACCAAGGGTGCATTTATTTGATCAAAAATAAAGTAAAAACAGTAAATTGTTAAATATGATTATAATTTAAAATAACTGTTTTCTATTTCAATATATTTATAATTATAAATATAATGTACTTCTGGTTATGCAAAAGCTGAATTTTCATCATTACTCAATGGTGTCACATGATCCTTCAGAAATCATTCTAAAATGAAAAATCCTTTTACACAATTTTTTTTTGTCAGGATTCTTTAACATAAATTTCAAAAGAATGGCAGTTAAAGTATCAATTTCTTTTAAAAAACATAACGTTCTAACTGTAGTGTATGTAAAACCTAACTTAGTTGTGGACAAGATTCTGGTTTTCTCCAGGTTTAAAGAGATGTTGGTGTGGATGGATAGGTCAGCTGATGTGATAAATGCAATACGTTTAGCATTAGGTACCAGTTGCTGCTGACAAGACACAAAAGTTTGAAAACCAGGGGCCACACCAAATCCCAGCTGATCTATGAAGGGCGGCTCATCCTGGCTGTGGATCTGAACTTTGATGCCGGCTTCGTATGAGGTTTCGTCTGTGAGGAGACATTCAACAAGATTATTTAGAGCGGGACATTTGACGTCTACTGCCTCGAGGCAAAAAATATAATGACTTTATAATGAACTTTATAATTACATTATCCAGAATGCCAACACATGTTTCTTTACTGCTTCCATATTGTCTCTGGATATAAAGTCTCCTCTAGAGCCAGTAAAATTACCAAGATTAATAGATTATAAATACATAATCTTCACTAGCACGCAAGTACATCAATTCTGAGCACTGACCGCATGTCATCTCCAGCAGATTCAACTGCACTTTGATATTCGTGACTCTTTTGCTTTCGCATTTATTTTCTGTGCATGATTATGCTGAAAAATGGCAGCATGCCACAGAAAATGAATGAGGCAGTAATGGGGCAGGTGTACTCTGTAAAAAACACACCAAGAGGGAGTCCTAACCTTGTTATCTCAGCATCTAAATGTTCTACCACAAGTTAAATCATTTTGATGCACCCACTTATAGGTAAATTATGCTAATTCCTTCCCATATGATGTACAACCCATATCTTGTCTTTTTTTAAATATAATTTTTGGACATAGTTGGAACATAACTCTTCCAAGGGACTTAAGTATATTATATAAAATATGGCAGCATTTCAACCCCAGAGTTATACATACTGTCGTAAGGTTTCATTTAAAGTGCCCTTATTAGGCTTTTTTGAATATTACAGTGAGTAATAGAGCTGTTTGTGCATGACAAATAAAGTTATTGGCTTCCAAAATTAAGAACCACCAAAATGTGTCATCAGCAACAAAACCATTAAACCAAAATTAGGAACCTTCAATATAGCACAATAGGGGCACTTTAAAGCATAATCTCTGCACACTATGTAACTTTCTGTCTGAAACTTTTGAATCGATGCGATTATTGAAGAGGCACTGTGATTTACATTTACATAAATTATGCAAAACACATCACTGATGTCTTCTATGTCTAATATATTGCTTACCCGTGTCACCCCAAACTGGCAAGTACTCATCCTGTTGAATATCCAGCATGATTTCCAGACCATTCCCCGTTCCGCCTTTTAAAGTCGTCAACAACGGGTTTCCATCTAGACCAGAGTTGAACGTGTAACATTTCCCGTATCTGGTGTAAATCTGTGGGAGGATGGTATACAAAAAAACACAAAAGAACAATAGTATAATTTATGAAATACAGTTTATGTAAATATATACACACACTACCGTTTCAAAATTTGGGGGCAGTACGTTTTTTTTAATCAATACTTAATGTGCACAAATAAATGTGGTTCTTTTAAACTTTCTGTTTAACCATTTCCACAAAAATACGAAGCATCACAACTGTTTTCAACACTGATAAGGAATGTTTCTTGAGCATCAAATCATCATTTTAGATTGATTTCTGAAGGATCATGTGACACTGAAGACTGGAATAATAATGCTGAAAATCAGCTTCGTTCACAATATATTCAAATAGACATCTGTTCTTTTAAATTGTAATCAATTTGACAATATTAGGCTACTATTTTCTTCCTGTACTTTTGATCAAAATAAATACAATATTGGAGCAGAAGAGGCTTCTGTCAAAAAAAAAATAAAAAATCTAATTTTTGAACGGTAGTAATGATAGTCATGCAATCGAATCAATTATATGATATGCAACTCCTCACATTTTCAAAGCAAAAAGAAAAAAGGTTGATGTCGCCACTTTCCCCGAAAGGAAATCCAATTAACTGACAGCAATTTGAAAGAACAGGCTTCGTCCCTTTGCAGATAATAGCTGCTGAAATATGATGGTCTTGGCAGTGTTTTGACAGTGATGAAGCGAGAGACACTGGTCACACAGATGAGTTCAGTCATGGTTTCATGACCCCGCTGTGACACTAATGAGCGGTAGATCGTTCAGCTCTAGAGCTTCAACAAGGACTGTCTCACACACGCGGGAAACAAGCTACACCTTGACAGCACAAAACACTGAAACAAAAAGGTAAAGCTACATTTCGCCCGTTTCATCCATGTGGGTTCTGAGGCATTTCAACATGAGAATGATAAAAGCATGATAAATTAAGGGCAAACAGTGCAGTTAAAGATAAACATCTGTTGTTTTATTTTTCAGTTTTAAAGTAATAGTTCACACTAAAATTCAAAATAAAGTCAAAATTTACTCACGTTTGCATTTTTCTATTGTCTTTTTTTATTGACCACAAAATGAGAAAAAAACTCACATATAATGGCAGTAATATAGCGACAAGCACAAGCTTTTTTTTTTTTAAAAAAAGATGCAAAAGTATCACAGAATGATCCCATGTGACACGTGTAATATATTCGAAGAGTTCTGGGCGTGTATGACAGGGTTTGGTGAAAAACACACCTATTATTTAAAGAAAATCCTGACCTTGGCATTGGTCTTCTGTGCTCGATTGCACATTAATGAGACTCTATCAGCACCACAGTTCACCCCGTCTCTACCAGACAAAGCACACAAGTTATGCGAAAACAAGATTAACAAAAAGGCAACATGAAATACAATCCACATACCTTCTTCTCTGCGGTGAATATATATTCATTGTGCTCATCACAACGAAGTTATCGATGTTCACATCTGTCAGCAGTGATTCCGACTGTCATCAGACATATGGAGTTTCAGAGATATTTAACTCAGTGAAAAAAAATACACAGATACTTCTTTGGGATTTCCAGGTTGTATTTGTTTGTTTTTTTAATCATCTTGATTTCTAACAACTTGTGTGCTTTTTCTGGGCAAGATGGAGTGAACTGTGGCACTAACAGTCTCACGAAGGCTTAGCCATGCACAGAAGACCAATGGCCAGGGGTCAGGTTTTTGGTTAAATAATAGGCTACATTCAATTTTGGTTTGTTTTTGGTCGCTATTCACTGGCATTATATGGACTACGCGAGCGGGACCCTTTTAAAAAGTTGAAGAGTTCAGATGCAAAAGCCTCTAAGTGCCATTTGAAATTTTCTTCTAAAATGATCATTTTTATCAATCTTGTATATTTAAGTTCAGTAATTTCACTTAAATGGCAATGAAGATTACCTATTAATAGTCATTTAAGTGAAATTACTGAACTTAAATATACAAGCTTGATAAAAATGGTCATTTTAGAAGAAAATTTCAAATGGGATTTAGAGACATTTGCATCTGAACTCTTCAATTCTTCTTTTGTGGTCAGAAAAAAGAAATAAGGGCATACGGCAATAGAACAAGCAGGTCGAGTAAATGATGACTCAAGTTTAAATGAACTATCCCTTTAAAATATGTTCAACTATGCCAGTTAAATCTACACAGATTACTTTAACTAAGCCATTTATACGTTTTCATTCAAAAGAAACTACTACAAACACACTGAACTACTCAGAAACCCTTAGCAACTGCATAGCAACACCCTGACAACCACCAATAACACTATAGCAAATGAACACAAATACACTAAACTATTCCAAAAACACCATAGCAACTAGCCAATTACATACAAAAACATTAAGCTATTCAGAACACCATTTAAACTGCATAGCAACACCCTGACAATCTCACAGAACACCTTGGCAACCACATGGAAAACACTACACTATACTCAGAATATTATAATAATTTAGCAACACCTTAAATCAAACACACAGACATGCTATACAACTCAAAACATCTTAGCAACTGCATAGCAACACCAGGGCAACCCCACAGAGCACCCAGGCAACTGCATACAAAGGTTCTAAAATTATTCTGAAATCCTTATAAACTGCATAGCAACACCCTGACAACCTTGCAGAAAAGCCAAGCAAACACTCTAAACTCATAGAAACTGCTGACAACTTCCCAGAAAACCCTGACAAGTCATGCAAACACTACATGCTAACAAACAATCCACAAACAAACATGCTATGCTCTGAACATCTTAGAACTGTATAGTAACACCTGGACAACCTCAGCGCACACAAACAACTGCATAAAACTAAAGCCAGACCGATATATCGGCAGACCGATATTAGGCATTTTCCAAACTATCGGTATCGGCAGTTATAATGGCCGATAAAGGAATATTTCAAAAATAAAATGAAAACGGACGAAACACGCTTCAACCATGTCATGAGTGTTGGAGTTGTATAGTTTGTCCACCAGAGGGCACTCTACACTGTTCCTGTTGGCAACACTCGTTGAGTTGGTCACGAGACATACATTGCTTGAATAACAATTAAAAGAACATCCCCATCAGTTCTCTTAACTCAAATAAGCATGACAAAATTTGTGACTATCATGTCCACTTTCAAATAAATAAATAAAATATCGGCCGATATATATATCGGATTTTAAAACCCAAAAATATTTGTATCAGTATCGGCCTTCAAAATCCTTTATCGGTCGGGCTCTACATATAACATTCTAAAAATTACATAGAATTCCTACGCAATTGCATAGCAACACCCTAACACACTATACTGCTCAGAACACCTTAACAACTGCAACCTTTCAAAACACACTAGCAACGGCATAAACACACTAAACGACTTAGAATACCCAAGCAATTGCTTATTGTAATAAGAAAAAGTTAAATAAAATAAAAAACCTCGCAATTGCATAGCAACACCCTAGCAACCACGCTTTACTACTCAGAATGGCTTGGCAACTGCAACCTTGCAAAACACCCTAGCAACTGCATAAGCACACTAAATTAAACCTCCCAAAAAGCACTCTGGCTAGATAATGTTAAAATCTACCCATTTTTGCAATTTTGCTCAGTGTCACAAGATTGTACACTTGACCTTTAAAAAAGGACATTCAATCAAACAAATCAGTCTGACACTATCACACCTACGATCGCTATGTTCCCACATTCTTGTCAAGCATCTGAAGAGTAAGATGGTTATGATTATCTCAAAATCTCAATTAACACGAAAGTGCTTTGAGCTAAAAATGAAACGTTTTTGTCAGCATGTCGATGCATCACAGAGGATTTGTGTTTGCCACGCCGAGTTCACGGTTTACCACAACACATGGAATGAGCACATTGTTTTCCAACAATAGTTGAAGCCTCTCTCTCCTCCCTGTTTCCCAAGTAATTAACTTCATTCATTCTGAAGGGAAGCGCACCGCACCAGGCGAGAACTCATTTAGACTGATGATTCAGAGCTTTGTGCATATGTAATCTGCAAGTGAGCACAGATTCATGGAAAGCAGTCTTGTTGATTTCACATCAGATTCTAGCCATGCGTGCAATTTCATATGCTTAAACACTGGAAGGGTTTTGGGGATTTTAAGAGGTAGATTGGTTTTCTATCTGATAATGAAGAAAAAGAGGATCAAGATACTGAGCAATGGAGTTTAGCTGGAGGCAGGTTTTAAGCACATCTGTGCAAAGCACCCAGAGCTTTTTAATAATTCATGCGTCTTCCACACAGAAATTTGTCAGAGAGCAGTTTCTGTGCCAGTAGATGTTACTGAGATTTTTCACCTCAGGGTTTCTGTGAACAGTCCTCAAAACCTACCACACGTTTCTACAAAATAAAGAAAAAGAAAAAAGACATAACTTAAAAATGTTGACGCCGATGACAAATGCGGCAGGTAATTTTGTAAATAAATGATTGAAAGTGAACATTTTACATATAGGGGTGATTGAATGCAAAATTCACTTTTATATGGTGTTTGCAGTGTGTGGACAACCACCATGCAATGGGAAAAAAAAAATTCACTTGTTTTTTTTTTTGTCCTCAAAAAGTCTAAACACTTTCAATAATCAAGCCGTTTGGATTTTTTTAAGCAATATGGTGTCAAATTGCTCATGCTCTGCCCACAACCACTGACGGACTCTCCTTTATTAGCATATTTCCTCCCTCAGCCATTTATATTCTTTCTGCTGAGCAGGTTGCCATGGCAGCACTTTATTGCTGCGTCCCAATTTGCATACTGTCCGTCCTAAATAGTATTCGAAAATAGAATTAGTATGTCCCAAATCGTAGTATGTTGCACACTCTAACGGCTGATATTGCCCACAACCCCTCGCATGTTGGACGAGGATTCGGTTAGAACTACAAACACTAGTGAAAAGTTGTTCAAAAAAACTACAGACGAGGACGCGCGTGTCCTACGGTTGTGTAGAAAGGTTTAGATAAAGGGGTTTAAG